TCTGATTCTTCTTATATTGTATTAAAAGTTAAGCTGAGGCTAGTTTTAAAATTTAATAGAATAGCTCAAACTTATGACCCGGCCGAAGGCCTAGAAAAAGCTGGCCGAAGGACAGCTAAGGAGAGTTTGGAGGACAAAGCCCCAAGTAAAAATTTCCCCCCTTTATAAAAATCCTGGATACGCCACTGATTTTATTTTTCTTATATTTAAAAAAAAATTGTAATATTATTAGGGGGGATTAATTTTTTTAACTAATATTATATGAACTCATCTTGCCAAGGTTATAATGAGTGAAGTGCGAAATTGTTTGAGATCTAAGGTGCTCAGATCAGTGGCGTATCCAGGATTTTCTTATAGGGGGGGGGGAATTTTTGGGGGCTTCGCCCCCAAATCCCTTTTACCTGGCCTTCGGCCAGCTTTTCCCTGGCCTTCGGCCGGGTCTTATTTAGCTATTCTATTAAATTATTCATAATTTAATAATAATTATATTTCTATTTTTAACTATTATTTACTAATTCGTGCTTATGGATAGGATATTACAAGCCTATTTTTTATTACAAGTTAGGTATATAATATTTATTAAAGTTTTTTTAAATGTAAAAATGAAATAAAGTGTAATTTTTTTCTAAAATTTGCTTTAAAAACTAGCTTCAGCTTAAATTCTCATACAATATAAGTAGAATATAATTTTTTTATTGAAAATACTAATAGTAGTGTGTATAAAATATTGACTAGAAAATAATTAAATTAACAAGTTTTTTTAACTTCTTATCAAATACAAGATTTTTAATTATTTCATTTGTCGTTGGAACTAAATCTCTGTGTATATTTAACAGAGCTAACCCATTTAGCCGAGATTCAGTAATGTTTTCAACCTTCTCAAGTTGGAAAAAGTCCTTTCATTCGTACATGTTGTAATAGGCAAACATGCAAGAATATAAAACAACTTCGAAATATTAGGAAATTGAGCCAAGGTTTCTTTACACCGATTGAGCGCATCAATAGCATGCTCAGGTAAAATAGCTAAACGTATAAATATTTATACCACAATTCGAATTCACTGATTAAATTTATTTCAGTATCAATCTCATAGGAATAAAATTTTTCTAAATATTTAATTTTACCAATAGTGGCATTAGAAAATGAAGAAGTATCTTTGGGTAATAAAACTTGAAGATTGCTGAAGACTTGTTTTTTATCTAAAAACCGTACTTTTATTTGCGATAAAAAAGTATCTAAGAATGGGATGAAAATGGATATTTTATAATATTCTTCAATTGAGCCAATATTTATTTTCATCTCAATAATGGCCTAGGTGCTAGACGAGGTTTAATTAGTGTTATATCATAAAATTTAGTCTTCGATTCAACGTATAGATAAATATTATAAAAATATTTATCTACATTCATTCTTATTATATCTACCTATTCAAGTATATTTTCCGCCAAATCAATAACCTGAACCAAATCTAAATTTGGTTTTTGTAAATTTCTACAAAGTAGTGAGCTAAAATAATTTATTGATGCAACTAGCAGCAATGATAAACTCTGATTGATCAATTGAATTCAATAATGATATCGCTGCTGACGACACATTACTTTTTTTCATGCTCAGCCTTATTTATAAATTATCGTTTGATTTCAATCTCTTTGACTAAATATTTTTCCATTTTATTAATATTTTTGAATAATATGTTGGAAAATTGATATTCAAATATTTGTAAAATTTTGATTGGTGGGGGGGGGGGGGGGGGGGGTAAAATTTTTATTAGATTAAAATGATATTTATGAAAATAGTCAAATTTGCGATGGGGGGGAGGGGAATTTCCCCCTTTCCCCCCATTGGTTACGCGCCTGGCTCAGATTATTTCTAGAGAGAAGTGGACAAGTTTTGTTGTACTGTAAATAATATTAATTACACGGCATAAATCACTTGAACATTAATTTTGATTATGAAAATTAAATATTCATATTTATTTATTCAATATTGTTCTTGCATGATTAACATCAAAAAAATTATTTTATTATATGCAAATTTGATTAAACGAATATTAAATAGAACTATTCCCGCGGCTTTTTAATAATATAATCATTGAAAGATAATATTGAAAGGTAAGAAAAGAAGAGGTTAAAAATGGTCTACAACACCTTTTTTTATTACACTTTTTTTTTATTTGTATAATCATTTGAATTTAAGAAATATTTCTAATTTTTCTCTGCTAATTGAGTGAGAGGATTTTTATTAAATTGGCTAACTTTCAAGTTAATTAATAGATGTAGCGGCATATAAATTAACTTTAATTTTAAAAATAATTTATTAACCATTTTTAATTATTTTAAAAAAATTAGTTGTTAACGGTTTGTTTATGTCCCTTTTCATATTTATTGCTTTTTTTCCAATTATTTATTACAATTTAATTTTAAACTATGATGAAGCATTAAATGTTAAGTTTAAGAAATCTCAAAATATTTAATCATTTTAAAATCTCACCTGGGGAACAGGCAATGCTTCATTGTTTAAAAGTCAGTCACGTCGACAACAGGTATATTTGATTAAATTAATATGAAGTTCTTTTATATATCTTATGTTTGTTTTTTTTGCATATTTTTAATTAGCTAGATAATATTTAGCAATGTAAGCAACTCCCGTTCCTTGTGAGAAATTGTTCTAAAGAAAGTATCTTAATCACTAAGAAGAGAAATATAAGCAAAAGTGATACAATCTATCATGATTTTTCATATTTTATTTTCCTATATTTGCAAATAAATAAAAATTTTAATTTTATATAAAAATGTTTTGTTTATAATAGGCAGCATTCAATACCCTTCAAAAATAGGTCCGGACCTAGTCCGAATAAGTCTTTATATGTTATTTAAGCAGTGGCGTAGCTACGGGGGTGGTTTTCGGGTTTGGACCCCTCCCAGAGCTTTTTTTAGATTATACGTTCAAAAGACTTAAAAGTGATTTTATATCAATTAAATTACTATTGAAATTATTCTGGATAGTATTATTATAAAGTCATTGAGAATAATCTACTAAATTATAGTAACATATTATTGATGCATTTAAAAAATATATTTATTATATATTATCGAAGATATGGTTATGATTTGTAAGATAAACCCGCCCGAAGGCCGGGCAAAAGGGCCGAAGGCCCGTTAAAGGGGGTCTGGGGGCGAAGTCCCCTAGCTTTTATATGTATGGACCCCCTCTAAGGAAAATTTCTAGCTACGCCACTGTATTTAAGGTTAAATTTGGCTTTTGGAATCGGTTCCGCGATTCGGTCCTTGAATTCCAAGGCATACCGAACCATGACCTATTGAAGTATATATATAATATATGCATTGTTAAAAAAAAGAACCCCTTTTCCCTGAATACATCCTTATTGAGTCCAAATTTTCTTTACTGTATGGATTTAAAGATAGAATTAAAATTTTAAGAAAAATAGCTTGGATATGTCCATTAAAACTAATGGCAATATTTTGCTTATTTATTCGTCTTTTTACCTTTTTTTAAAATACCTTTGTAATAATAAATTTAAAAATACCCTTGTTACGTTAGATGCATAATAGAGACTCTTCAATTAAATATAATTAAAATCCGGCAATTACTATTCCCATAATATTAAAATTCTAGTTTTGTGGAAAAATAAATAATTGATTTACATCCCGCTTATTTCACAAAATCCGGACAGACGTAAGAATCTCCCTGACCAGAATTTAATCAATAAATAACTTGTTGATAGATCACATGATCGATTATATACTATTTATTAACATTCATTGGTTTTTCATATTTTCTACTTTCTTTAGAAACCATTTATAAAATTTAGCCTAAATACTTAAATGTGAGAGCAAAAATTTCGTTAATCCTATACAAAAAAAATAAAAAAATTTTATAACTTTGTGGAAATCTTTTAGTTTTAATTCCACAATCCTCAATGCATTTTAATTTTTAAAATTTATTATATCAAAGAGATTATAATGAAATAAAAAAATTTTTTGATAAGAACATTTTCTTTAAATTTATTTTAATCCCCATGAGTATAATTAAGTGGCAAAAAATGTTTTTTTTTTCATATTTCTTTATAGTTAAATTTTTTTTAATGGACTCTTTATATAAAAATAAAAATTGCAGGATATTTTTTATAAACATTAAATTTAAAAAAAAAGATAAATTTTTAATAAAACCCATTTTAAGAAATTGTATTTATTGATTTCATAATATTCAGTATATAAAAAATTATAAAATTGTTAACTTGTATAATAAGGGTCATACCTAATACAGAGGCGAGGGGGTGTCTCCTAAATAAAGCATGAAGTGGGTTTTAATTGATTTAGATTTTTGGATGGCCAGTTTTAAAGGGTCGTTACCACTTAATGATTGTATAATTTAATCTTCAGAATTTTAAAAAAAAATTATCCCACATCTATTTCTTAATATTCATAGTATATTAATGTATAAAATATATCCTATTTTACAATTCATAATAATAATAAAAAAAATAAAACAATTTATCTTTTAAATCAAACAAATTTTATACATATATTATTATAAAGTATAAATGATAGTAACGAGTGGGGGATTTAATTGTCTGTTTTTATACATACATAATATGTAGTATATACCTCTTTATAAAAAAATTCGTGTTAACATTAATAATGCTATCACATTCAAATGTATTTTTTTTATATTACAAAAAAATATCTTAAATTAGGATCGTTGACAATCGTTAATAATCTTAATGAATTTTTTAGACTGACTAAACTTATTTGCTGAAATTGAGAACGGTTTCTTATTAGATTTAAAAATATTTAACGTAGGAGTGATAAGATGAGTTGATTATCATCTTATCACTTATCAATCAACAAGACCATCTTAACCACAATAAATTTTTAATATTGATTATTTTTATTAGTTGTCAAATAAATATAATTTTTTTATTTATTATAATAAATTTTTATGTAAAAAAACAATGTTTTTATAAATTATATTCTTAAAATAAATTAATTCATAAATGAAAAATAAATATTCAATAAGGAAAAAATAATATAGCACTTAATATAAGGTATAATATTGATAAGTAATTTTTTATTTTATTATTTTAAAGAATTTATAAAATGTAATGTTCAATTTTGCCAAGATTTCCAGGACCAGGTTGTTTGTTCTGTATGAAAAATTTAACCTAAATTAAAAATATGCTAAATATTTTATATTCTTAAATGGTTTGGAAAAATTTTTTAAGTCATTATTTTACGACTTCATTACAATCACATAAGGGCAAACCAAACAATGGTTCAAAAAGGCCCCATTATTCGGAGGTTATGCATTACAATTTAAACTCTACAATTTCTTACGGAGCTAATTATATTCCACTGATAAAAAATGAGCAAACTTACATCGGCGATCAAAATAATAACACTTTAGGTGAGATATCATTGAACAAATCTAAGTCAAGAATGTATGGAAGCAAATATGATAAGGAAATGAACCAAACATTTAATGATTTTTACGAGAAAATAGATATGACGAGATTTAATCGTTCTTATCCTTTGATTGAACCATTATCCTACAATCAGGATATATATGTTGGACAACTCTCGGAGATTTCTAACACTCGAAAGAAGGATAAAAAAATTGTTAAATCCAAGAAACTGTTTTCTAAATCCTTCCGTTATAATAAGCCTCAATTAAAAAAAGATATCAAGGAAATATTTAACCATAGCTTTGTATACAATTCTTTTAGGCACAAAAATAAAGAAAAAACAGATGAACTTTCTAAGGAAGAATCAAAAAACTTTAATCATGATAATAATCCTCATAGACTGACCATAACTGAATACGATATAAACCAAAAATTTAATTCAAATCTATATAGATATAACAATGATGAATCGATTGCCAAAACTAGAAATACTAATGAAAATAATGTTGTAGCTAAGGCGTCTACATTTACTACAAATTTTTCAGGAAAAGAAATTTTTGACATATTTAAATATGATAAAAAATTATATGACGGTAATGTCTATTGCAACATGATGTTCGATAATACTATAAATTGCAAAGATGTGATAGAAAATCTGGCTAATAAACGAACTTTGATTAAAACTAATCCATGGGTCAAATATTCCAAAAATTCGGATAAGTATTTACGACAAAACTACACTATAAGCGATAAGACAGAGAAAAAATATCATATGTGGACAAGCACCTTAAATTCTATGGTAAACAAGGCAAAATACAAAGGTATAAATGAAACTTTTAATATGGATCTAATCAATAGTGCCTATCATCCAATTAATATGGCCAACCATTCTAATGGGGATTCGGGATTCTACGATGATGCATATAATAATGCTAATTTGCAGTTTATCACACTTAAACAAATAGAGAATTCCGCCAATTCGCAAACTTCTTCCATTTCCAAATTCAATTCATTGGATAGCTTTACCAATAACTTCAAAATATCTAATCATGATGATGAAATAAAAAATGTTTTAACTGATAGTTACAATTCACTAAAGGAGAGTGGTACATATATGGACTTTAATTCGTGTTCCTATATTTCATCATATTATTCAAACAATTCGGAAGATGACGAATCATTAAGTTCTATATGCACCCATGGGTCTATGAAAAAGCAAAGCCTTGTTATTGACAATCATAATGAACATAGTGATAGTGCCAAGGATGGGTCGGATCAAAATCTCAAACTTAGTGAAAAATTAGATTATTGGCAAGAGACTAACTTAGAATTAAGGGACAAACTTGAACATTATCGACAAAAAATTGATGAAAATAAAAATTATTTAAGGAATAAGATCGGTATCAAGGCTAATGTTGAAGTACAGCAAAATCACCAAAATGAATTCACACCCATTAAATATTTCGACACCAGCATTTTGATATATGAAATAGATCCTATTATTTACATATAAACAAAATTTATTATGGATACGATTTTATATTGCCAATATGATTATAAATTGTCTACATAACCTGTTATATAAAAAATTTTAACAATAAATTGTAAAACATTAATAAAGTTTTTATTTATCACTCATTATAGGCGTAGCCAAGATTTTGCTATGGGGGAGGGGTGGGGGCACTAGGTGGGGTTTTCCCCCATAAATTTTCATGGAGGTTTTATTACAACCTATTGTATGCCAATGGCTAAATTATATTTTTATAAAGATGATTTTGGATATCTACTTATTTTGCCTTTTTCTAAAAATTTTGAATTATAGTCGTTATTTTTAAGTTATTAACTTTTACTAATTTTTTTCAAATTCTTCTTTATAAGGATATATTGCAGGCGCGTATGCAATGGGAGTTAAGGGGAGGGGGCAAATCCCCCTCCTCCACCAAAGCCAAAACAACCAGATGGTTAAAATATTTTTCAACTGACTCCTATATTTTATCACAGCATATATATTCCAATTTATTTATCACATTATAGAATAAATAAATACTCTGCTAATTTATTCTATGAATTAATAAGTATTTCAAATTTTCCTTGGCATTATATTTATGTACAAAATTTCGCAAATCATTTGAAAATTTTTCACTGCAAAACTAAAATATAATATTTCAAAAAATGACATTGAGTTGAGACTTTGAAAATAACTGAAAGCATTATATTGGAACTTAAGAAAATTAGACGAATTATATATATTATATGTCATTGTTAAATCAAAATCAGAGTTCAATAAATTTAATATTTGTCTACCTCCACTCGTAGCAAGGCAAGTCCACCGTTCCATTATTAATATCGACTCAGTTGAAAAATACTATAGAATAAATTTCTTTATCGCTTTCTTTGATACTTTTATAACTAAAAGAAAGGTTCTTGATTAATTCAGTATTTACAAATCTGCAACGTATAATCTTTCCGAATCCATTTCAAATCTTGTTAGAGAAATATTAAGTATTTTGTAGATTTTTATTACGAGGATGTTAAAGTATCCCATGATGCATTATAAGCTGAATGCAAACTATGGCATAAAAATTTTAATATGGTTAATAATGTTTCCCATAATTTCAAACATATTTTAGACTATTTTTTATGTATAAAAATTATTATATATTTTTCTACAATGAAAGAACATTTTCTTCTTTAATGGGAATAAAAACATACCTGAGACTAGTGTTGTTAAATGACTTATATGAGCCGGCTTTTAAAAACTAGAAATATATTGCCTAAACCTCAAGATTTTGCTATTAGATGTCCAAATATTTGTATCCTATAAACTAAATCTTCAGGATTGCATAATATTTTCCCGCATAATGCATTGAATTAGCCGTTTTTAAAAATCGACTCAAATCGAGCCGTTTAACAACATAGAGATATCTCTGAAAATAGATGGAATGTTAGCCGTCTTAATATACAAGGGAGTTAACCCTAAGCACTGATGAAATCATTGAAACATTAGAAAAATGCCAAAGAATATTGATTTTTAAATTTATAAAATGCTTCTTAACTATTTTTTCCCCATTTTTTGATAAACTATGTTTTTTTCATGAATATTTGTAAATTTATATATATGCAATTATTCTTAAGAATATTTTTGTGCATTAATCTATATTTCCAATTTTTTAAAATATAATTAAATTTATATATCAAATTTTAAATGCTGAAAATTATAATTTTTTACCAAGTTCTTTTTATAGACATTATGATTCATACGCCTATTATATACATCAGAAACATGCAGGCCCGGGTAAAAGGACTTAAGGATTTTAAATTTTTTTTAAATATATTCAGGCTGGGCCTAAAAATTTTTAAAATATGTCCAGGCTATGCCTAAATTTTATTTTATATACTTAAAAAAAAATTTTTTAAATCTAGGCCAAAAAATATTTTTTTTAAATTCTAGGCTACCGTTCCACGATATCATACCTAATCGGGATACCAAGCATGCTTTGGCGATTCGGAACGTAAACTTAGAAATGGCCGAGCCAAAATTTTTTTAAAAAAAATCCGGGCCGGGTCGAACAAATAGTATCTGTGCATATCTCTACATTTAATATTTTATAATTCATTTATATTTGAATCTGTATATTAGAAATTGTCAATATTTTAAACTCACTAGTCTTATAAATATGAAACTTAAGATATTTTTAAATGACTCTTATAATAATTCTTATAAAAAATTTAATATCTCACACAGCGAATTCCTACCTCCGCACCTGAGACATTATATACATTTTTGAAGAGGTTTGGAAAGGGGATGTGTAGGGGAAAATTTTTTATTAGCTTAAAATGGTATTTACGAGAACAGGTAGATTTACGATGAGAACCCGCCCTCCCCCATGTTATGCGCCTGTCACTCATTATCTTACGAGTGAATAATCTTTTATTTAATCATTTAAAATAAAAGAGCATATATGAAAAATCTATCTAAGCTTATCTTATATTCTTTCAAAGAAAATTCTATTTATTTCCTTTTTTTTCTATAACAAAGTTAAAATTTAAGAATAATCTCAAGATTAATATTTAATTTAAGTCTCTTTTTACTATGATATTTAAGAAAAGTTATTTCCATTTGTCCAATAATAAATTGGCATCTACAAAATATTAGAAGGAAGAAAATCGATTTTGTTCTATAAAAGAAATGAAATCATTTTAGAACAAAGTGGTATATTAATTAAATTATTTACACTATGAATATTGATCTTATATTTACACTATGAATATTGATCTTATATTTAAAAAATTTAAGTAAAATTTTTAATTTATTTAAACTTTTCTTTATTTAAGTTTTTCAAATAATAAAATGAATTTCGAAAACTTTATCATACACATAGAATCTAAATAAAAAATTAACCAAAGTTGCCTCGCCTCTATAGGAATTAATATAAAAATTTATATTTTATCTTATCATATTTTATCCATTTTTTATAATTAATGTATAAATGTATTAAACTTTTATTACAAAAGTTAACTAGATAATTCAAAATTAAATTTAGATTAAGATTCCCCCAGCCCCACCCGAGAAATGTTGCTTAGACCCCCCCCCCCCACCATCCCGATGATTAAAATATAAATTGATCATTTATTGTAAATAGATACTAGTGTTCCATTTATAAGATAATTCTTTTTAAAGACTTTTAATTTAACATAGAATTTTGCATTTCAATAAAAAATAATGGTCAAAGCAAATCCCTTTATTTGAGTAATTAAGAGTAAAATGGATATGTTTCAACAAATCAGGTTAGCTATATAAAACCAATATAATTTAATTTTTTTAAATAAAAATAAAGAATCTATATATATATAGCACATAAAATAAACAATAATATTCGATTCGTAAAAATGTCAACGAATGTGCATGCGTGATTTTTTCTTATTGTTTAAACTTGACAAGATAAAATCTAAATTTTTGTCGCATTTTAAAATATTAAATTAAGGTCCAATTTATAGTATTTTATCTTGGTAAAATTTATAAATATCTTAAGTGTAATACACTATATATCACAATTTTTAAAAAATCATGTCATGTATTATAGTTATCAAAAATGTTATTTTAAAATAATATATCATTTCGCTGCGATTTATAAATATCGAAAATGAAACAAATAATTGAAAGAAAAAAATGGTGTTGAAAATTTAAAAAAAGATATTAGACTTAGGGATTTATGTAACTGGAAAGCATACTTCGATTGTACATTGAAAGAATTTACAAAATACAGCCATGTCTAAAATGTCAAAATTTTAAGAAAGGCTTTAAAAAAAGCCAGCAAACCAAAAATATTATTTTTATAAATTCGAGCAGGGTTTGTAATACAATTTTTGTTCAATCGGTACCGAAATATTTGATTCCTACAGATTTCTGAGATTTATAAACATATGTATGATATAATAATACAGCAATATAATACTGAACAAATTATATAATTTTATATATTACTATTAGTAAAAAAAAATGTTTTATTGATTATTTGAAGAATTTAAAACTTAATATTGAGGTATAACAAGGCGTCCTTTCTAAATTTAAAAAAAAATTGTATTTTGTTTGTAGCTATTTTGCGACAATTAACAAAATTCAGTAGATAAAAAAATTTATTATTTTTCATGCGTATTTATCCAATATAAGTTAATGATATTAAAAGAAAGAAAAAAAAATAGCAATAAAAATCAAATTAAAAAAAAATTTTAGCTTAGAAAGTCCCTTAGAGTTATGCATTTTTCGTGTAAATTTTTGTGGTTAGAGTCAGTAAAATAAAAATTAACAAACTTTCTAATAATGAAATATCTTTCATGCTAATTATTCGAATATTTGTGTGTTTTTTAGAGCATAACCCAACTGTTGTAGACTTTTTCTGATACTATAGTAAACTTTTGGATCTTCAATAGTGACAGGAATCTATATAAAATTGATTATAACAATTGTATATAAGTGAATATTAGATATTGCTTAAATACTAATTTTTACTTATTCTATTATATTTTAACTATATATAAAATAATATTTTCTGAGTCTGACAAGGTCAAAAAAATCTCATTCTAACCATATCACAAAGCAAAAATTTTTTATTTTTTATGTGTGATTTTAAAATTAAACAGAGAATCCATATTAATTTTAAAAAATTTTAAATAATCAAAATTTTGATATCTATATCCTTTTTTAGAACAAGTGATGCGAAAAAATACGTATATCCTATATATTTTTTTATTTATTTAGTTCAAATGGATTTCATCAAAAATTATATTTTAAAAAAATTGCAGAAAAACAAAAGCTATTTTATTTATCGTAAAAAATCACAAATATATTGTTTTTCACTTTTCGATACACGAACTTTGAACCAAATTACATTATATGTTTTTAAAAACCTAAATTTTTTATCTAGGATTTTATTTAAATGCAACCCTTAATTAATTTTAAAAAAAGATTAATTACATGAGATGCATTTATAAAAACATTATAAAATACAACTTATCGGTAAAATTTTTAAATACATAGAAAAATAAATGATTTAGTTCAAACGGTCATCAACAAATCGTAAAAATTCAAATTTACTATATTTTTTTAGGGAGATAAATTTATAATCACATAATTTGCATATTTAGTTAATTTAATATCTTCACTTAAATTTTTCATCGAATTGTTTTTTATAAATTGTTTTGCCTTTATCCAGTGGTTCTTTTATGATCCATTTATATTACTTTTTTCGAATCTGGCCGAAAAACAGGCCTAAACATAAATATAATTTAATCACCAATAAAAGATATGCCCCGAAAAGCATCGATTTATAACACATAAATATTATATTTATTATGAGTGACCGTGTTGGTAGAATTATATTTTAATTCAGGCCGTGCCTAATGTTAATTTTTAAAATAGGGTTGAACATTAAGACGAATATATTCTAGGTCAGAGCCCTAGAATTAAAATACCTTAAACTCATTGGTATTTTTATGGTTACTCCTACTAACATTAAGACTTAATGCCTAAAGGGGGTTAGAGGAGAAAATAACTAATTAGAAACTGTTGGAATAAGTATTTCGAATAAAATCGATATCAGCGACGGCAAAATCTGAAATGAAAACATGTCTACTCTTACAATAAACAACAATAACACATCCGTTTAATATAGACAAAATATTGTCGCCGTTAAATAGTAAATTGTTATTAACTCGTCTGTTTATAAAAGGTAGGATCTTCTTTGGAAGGTATAGTTTCAAAAAATTAGTAAACCTGATTCTAGGATAAAAAAAATGAAAAAATGTTGAGTTTATAATTAAAGATTTGATAGATAAAGCCAAATCCTTCAAAAGAGGAAAATCTAGTGTGGTGGTTAAACAATGGAATAGTCTACTGATAACTTTTTATTGTTAATTAACTGCTAATTAAAAAGAGCAAATTGAAGTTGTATCAGTAAAAGTTACATAAGCATTTAGGAGAAAGCTTCAATTTTATAGAACGAGCCGAATAAGATAAAACTCAAAGTTAAACATAACCGATAATAAATGTTAAGTAAAAAAAACTATTAAATCTAACAAAAGTGGTGAGTTATTCTAAATCAAAATAAATTTTGATTATATTGATCGATATACTTTTGTGAAAAAGGTAAAAGGTGCAAAAAAATAGAAATTACACATTAACAATATAATTTTAAAGTATTAACAAACAGATTTATCGATTTTCTCTCACATAATTGAAGCAATTATATAATGTTAAAAAAAATTTTACAGTATAAAATGATAAAAAACTTTTTGAATTTTAAAACAAAACTAATTAATGTAATATTATTAATAATATCATTGCATATTTTTGATAAAAAAATTCTCCTACCATCTGAAATATATATTTTTTAAATATTGAATTGATTTTTTTTACTTTTAGTGTACTATAATAATTTATCATTTTATTTTAAAAAGACTATAATTCCATTTTAATTAATAAAATTTAATCAATCAAAAATGTATTAAAATCTTATACAATCATGAATATAATATTATACAGAAATACAGGTTTCAAATATATTCAATTTAGAGCAATTAAATATTTTTCTGATTACTGTGAGGAATTTTTTTTAAAAAAATATATAGATCACTCACATTTAAATAAATTTAATGTAAAAAATTATGAGAAAAATAATCAATTTTATAAAAACATTTTTCAATTAATACAATGTGATATTAAGAATTATATACAAATATGTAAATTGTCTAAGAAAAAAAAATCATTTAAGAAAAACTAAACAGTTTTTATTTAATTATCCTATAAAAACTCTTTTATGTGTAAAAGTATGAAGGTGACAAATTTTTACCAGACTTTAGTTTAAACTTTTTTAAATTATCGTAATCATTTTAAAATATGGAAGGGAAGTTTTTTTTATTTGTTTAATATTATGTTTAAGAAATTTAAATTTTCAGAAGGAATTTCGCCTTGGTTGCACCAATGGCTAGAATAGAAATCCGTCCCGAATCCATTGCTATATAACTAGATTATACGGGTGGTGAGGTATAAAGAACCTTGCAGGCCGATGATTTTGTAATGATAGCGAAGAAAAGGAATAAGGTAGATGAAAAGACTAATAAAGAGTTACATAAACTAAAATAAAGAGAATCTACACATGTGTTAACTATTGAGGTGTGCATTTATTAGATATGGGCGAGGCCTGATGTTTACTAAGGTTTTGCTCTTTCGTTCAAAACTCATTTGTACCGACTATTTCTACAAACAGATATATGAGATAGATTTAGTTAATTTTGCTTTACACTTAAAAAAGCGTGTATATTTATATATATAATATATAGCACCCAAAATATCTTTTTAGTATGCAACTAATTACCGAATCAGTAACATTAGTCAATGGAGGCTTTAGAGGAAAAAGGTTTTAAAATGAATGTAAAAATAAAGATGATGCAAAGGGTGTAAAATATGAAAGAACCATGCATTTGGTCAGGCGGAAACGATCTTGCTAGGATCGATTTAATTTATCTGTTGCAAGAAATAAGTCGATAAAGTAATGGTGTTGCATGGAAATGTGCAAATGACAAACGCGATATATATTTGTTTGGAAAATTTTAACGAAAATGAGTTTCTTTCTGATTTGAAGAATTCACATATGTGTGGGCGAGATATGGCCAATGAAGATAATATTAGATGTTGTGAAAATTACTTTTTGTTAAATTTAAATCACTAAAAAGTAACGAGTTCCAGTTTGCTAGATTTTTCAAAAATTGGTGAATTTGAGTAACCTGGGAAATTAGTGAAAAAAAATGTTACAGTTACAGTCATATTTAAAAATTACATTTTAAAACAAGTACATATAATTAGGTAGACTCTATAAAGGTAGCTAGTCATGGGTAACTAGTTATCTGTCAATATTTAATTTAATTTAATCGAATTACAGATAAAGTTATAGCCTTTCCAAAAATATAACAAGTTATATTTTTTTTCTCTTTAGCTTTCACCTTTTCTGGTGGTAAGCTCCTTCAATATCTCTCTCCACTTTATGTTATTCATACTATCTCTTTTATCTAATATATACTTCTTCATATTGGCTCTAACTTTATAGCCCCATTGAAGTTTTAGCCTTCCTCTTTTACGTTTACCCATCACTTCCAAACTCTCAACTTTATTTCCTATGTAGTTCATAGGACTTCTCAATTTATACCCATACCACCTAAGTCTGTTTACCATTATCTTAGTTTTAATGGGCACTACCTTTAAACTTCCTAGTATTCTTGTACTTCGCACCTTATCTTTCTTGTTACCCCAGCAATCATCCTAAGAATTCTCATCTCCATAGTTTGTAGACTTCTCTCGTCTGATTCTTTGGTTGGCCATGTTTCCGAACTATATAGAATAGTTGGTTGGAAACTGTAAATTTTTCCCTTCAATTTGTGTGGGATTCTTTTGTCAGAGCACTCCAGATAAAGATCCCTACTTTAACCCCCCTTGATTAATTTTACTCTTTATCTCTTTCTCTATTGTGCCGTTTGTTTGTATAGTGGAGCCCAAATATTTGCAGCTTTCAATTGCCGATATCTGCCATTCATTTATATCAATGCTCTCTATTTCATCTCCTCCTATCACCATATACTCCGTATTTTCTCTGTTTACTTTTAGCCCGAGCTTTTCTAGAATATTTATCCGACTCACTAATCTTTCTTTCATTTCATCCTTGGATTCGGCAAGTATAACAATATCATCTGCAAATATCATATTCCACGGGACTGTTTGTGGTATAGACTGTGCTAATACATCTATTACTGTTATGAAGAGAAGTGGGCTGAGAACCGACATGAACTCCCTCGGCTATTGCGAAGCCTGTTGAATTACCAGTTGTGCTACGGACCATTGTTGTATGGCCCATATATATATCCTGTATTATTCTTATATATTTTTCGGGAACCTTTTTGTGGCATAGCGCCCACCAGATAAGTTTTCTTTGGATTCTATCGAAGGCCTTTTCTAGATCGAGAAAGACCATGTGTAGCTTTTTGTTCTTTTCCATGTATTTTTCACTCATTTGACTAATTGCGTGGATAGCATCAGTTGTTGATCTTCCAGGCATAAAGCCAAACTGAGTCTCTCCTATTTCGATTATGTCTCTTAATCTTTTTTCTATTATTTTTTCGTATAGTTTTAGACAGTGTGACATTAGTTTTATGCCCCTGTAATTTTGACAATTGTGTGGATACCCTTTATTTTTGAAGATAGGAACTAGATAGCTCTGCCTCCATTTTTGGGGAACCTCTTCATTTCCAAGTATTTTATTGTACAGATTTGTGAGAGATTCCATCATCTCCTAGCGCTTTAAGGCTTTCTATTGGAATATCATCTGGACCCCTAGCTTTGTTGTTTTTCATATGCTTGAGACATGTGATTATTTCTTGTTCTGTTATTGGTTGTATAAGGTTTTGACATGGGGAGTGTTCGTCTAGATGTAGTATGTCGGGATTAAAGTTGAGAATCTCCTGAAAATATTCTTCCCATCCATTCATTATTTCTTTTTCCTTTATTATCAATTTCTTATCTTTATTTTTTATTACTTTCGGAGCTCCGTTTATATCCCTAATTCTTTTCTCGCTGTTTGGCTAATCTGTATTTTTTATTTTGCCCTTCTTTGGTATGTAGTTCTTCATACATGTCATCGTATGCCATAGCTTTGGCCCTAGCCACCTCCTTTGTAGTTATTTTCTTGGATTTTTTGTAATTTGTCTTGTCATCTGGGTTTTTTGATTTGTTCCATATTTTATATAGGGCATTTTTCTTCTTTATAGTGATTTGTACATCTTCATTCCACCACCATAGTTCTTTGTATGATTTGTTGTCTCCCCTTGTCAAGCCTAATGTCCATTTGGCAGTGTCTATTAATCTGGATGAAAGGTCTGTCTATATTTTCTATAATTTATGATTTTTAAAAAGAGACGCGAGTTATTAGATAAATGTGGCGAATTATTAGAAGAATGCGTGAGGTATCTCCAAAAGTCAGAAACCGACTAATTACTCCAACAAAATATTATGATAGAAATAAATAATATTGTGAGAAAACAGAGGAGGGATCGGAATGCGAAATTGAAGGGACGTGTGATGGATAAATGTACTAAATAAAAATCTGCGTTTAAGAATAAAATTTAAATAATAAAAGAACATTTAAAATTAACTTCGAATGGCTTATCAATCGCTAAAGCAGTCATTGTGAGCCTAGAAACTTTACCAGAGCGAGTCTTGGGTAGTTTTGGCACAATGCAAATTAGCTTTAATGAGGCAACCGGTCCCATTACATCTCTAACAATTTTTATCGTGTCTAGGATCAATAATTCATTGGTTTTGTTTACACCTTAGTTTATTTTAAACAAATAATAAAAGTTAAATTTCAACTTAGAATTTTTTTAATAATGGGAGAGTTATATTACCATGGTTAGGAACGCAAAACGCTAAAGGAACATGCCCTTTTAATGCATCCGGAACAGCAATGACAGCACATTCTGCTAGGTCAGTATTTTCCATAATGGCCTAAATTATAAAAAAAATATTTAACCATATTTTTATTGGCAATGTATTTTAATTACAACTTATATTCTTTTTTGAAGCTCATATTTATTACATTAACATGTCAAGTCCACCTCAAAATCCTCTATAGATTACTAAATTATATATTTCAAAGGTAGGCAGTACCATAAATATTACCTTGGTGCAATGGGATCACTTATGAGTTCTTGAAAAACTATAGTATGTCTACCGGAACCACTAGTGCAATCCCAATGTAAATATTAAAGATCAGTTTGTTTTCGAATTAATGCTAGTTTAATTTAAAATTGAGACCGAGGTATAGCGAACCCTGGTGCCCGGAATAAAGGCATTGAACCATCTGCCCACGGGTCAGGGACCTTAGGAAAAATATATTTATGGGCTGGGCCTGCAGTAAATTTTTTTGGAAGCATACAATTAGATAAATTTTGTATTCTTCTTTCAAAATTATTACGAGTCGGGCTGAAAACCTTTGTAAAAGAAATAGGGGTGCATCAATCCACAATTTTTTCATAGATCTGGTCCGATATTTATTTCAAGCAGCACCGATACAATCCAATATTTACATTGATTTTTTTATTATTATTTTTTTATAATATAAGATAATGGAATAATAAAAATCTATGAATAAATTTTTTTAAAGTGTTTTAATCAGAATATTCACTTATCCCGATTATTAAAACTCAGAGTTGTTAAACCCTACTTTTAAAAGTAGCGCGCTGCCGTTATCGCTACCCTTCAAAAAAAAATAGCGAGATATTAGCTACTGTTTTTTAAAAGTATTTTTGGCTTCTTTTTATAAAAAAAATTTAGAAATAAATTTGCTTTATTTTTTGCTTATAATGTAATTGCATAATATATAATACATAAAAATCAACATTTAAAAATATTTAAATATAGTTAGTTCTGATTATTAAAAAATTTTTGTAAAAAGACTATAATTTATGTAATAAAAATAACTATTTATGGTAATATTCATTTTTTATTTATTTTATTGCATTTTAATAATAAAATCATTTCTATACTATCATCACCAAGTCTAGAGCGACAATCAGAAAGTATAAATTTCACCTTACTAATAATCTCTCAACACTCACTTGAGGGCAAGGCAGTATTTAATTTTATATACATATTTTTAATATAAAAAAAATTATCAAAAATCAAAAATACTCATTTGAGTATTTTAAGATTTAAAAAACTCGCCTAGAAGATTTTCTATTATATTAGTATCCTTTATTTCAGAAAAATTATCAGTAATAGTTGTTTTTATGCTTCTAACTAGGGCATCTTTGTCTGCTATCTCAATCATTAGTGTCTGGTGCATTTGAATACAAAAATACTAAAATATGAATTTACAAAATACTATAAATACAACGATTTTTTTTAAATTTTAACATAAATGAATTAAAAGATAAATTATGTGTTATTCTTTTTTCATAAGCCATTAATATTAAATTTTGTTTACGTTGATTTCATCGATTTTCTAGTGCTCAATATAACTCTTTAGTGTAAAAAATGAAGCCTCGCAAGAAGCCGTTGATACCCTAATGATGATGGCTGCTGAATAGCATTTATACAACTCCTTAAATGCAAGATGATATTTTTTTATACATAATATTTAGAATATTTCCAAAATTATGTGTTTCTTTAACCTCTGCAGCTAATAATTCTTTTGCTATTTTCATTTCATGATGTAACAATTTTATTAAGTTTGACAATGATTTTAATGGGGCCATTTTATCTGCTATAAAATAATCAGAAGGGGGGACAAATGATAGATGATTATAATCATCTTGTGTAAATCTATATAAAAAACGAACAACAAAGTAATCAATAATTTCATAAAAATTCTTTTTTAAAGAACTTCAATTGATGTCTTTTTCACAATTTGTAATTTGGTTTTGACTAAAAAATCTTGAAATTTGTAGGCGTTTTTTCATTCAGATGCTTTAAAATGCAATAAGTAATGCTTTCAGCAGAAAGACATTGTAAATTAATAATTCCTATTAAATTTTCTTGGATTTCTCCAGAAATAATATAACGAATAATTATGCTCAGGTTTTCACAATCTGATGCATCTTTTGCCTCATCAGCCTTAAGACAAAAAAAGGCACTCGCTTTTGTTATATTTATCTGAGATATTTCAAGCACCATATCTGCCATAATAGATATTACTTCGTTTTGAATCTGGGGTGATGTATATTGGGCATTTTTGGATATTAATTTCATAATTTTATTTAATTCAGGATCTTCTTGGATGGTGTATGAAAACATTGCTATAAATAGTCCAGAAGAATAAATTATGTTTTCATCTTTTGCAGCATCAGTAATTTTTGTTGAACCAGTCCCACGGAAAGGTTTCTGTATGCTAAGAAATAGCATCAAATCAAATATTGATATAATATAATAACGATTACGGTTAATTTGTTGGCTATCCAAAATTTTGTTATCTCAGTATCCTTACTTAGATTAAGAATTTTATCATGGCAAATTGTTATTAAATTTTATTGAGCTTTTGAGCTCTCATGTTATAGCACTCCACTTTTTGTTTAAATTTGGGAAGGAAATTTTTTTTTTGGGGGGGGGGGCAGGTTTGGGAGGCCAAAAAAATGGGGGCGCCCCCGTATCTATGGCCCTGATTTGGTGACAAAGAATTGTTGTACCAGATGATAGAGTTTTAATCATCATGGTAAATGATGGATTATCAATCAATGACATTGGTTGAATTGTATCAATTATAAAATCGACAATAACTTTATCAGCCTGAGAAATATTAACATGTACAATATTATTAATCAATTTAGCTTGAATTGAATTGAATTGGTCTTTTTGGGTAGTCCCCCTATATCAAAATTATTAAGATGTTTTTCTATCTCTTTAAAACTGTTGGCATAAACATTCTTACAAAATAAAAATATTATTAAAATCTATGACCATTACCTTTAGGTGTTTTTTGACGTTATAGCTACTGTATTTATTTGAGGATATATTTTTTTACAGTTTGAACAAATAAATTTGTAGCCACCTTTTGTTTTATATTACTTTGAAAATATTTTTCAAATTTTGGAAATGAAAAATTTGTATTATTGTTATCAAGAACATTTTCTTCCATGGTACCTTCCATTTCATTAATATCATCATTGTCTGACTCACTTACATCGATTTGGATATCCATTTGCGATGACATTTTAAATTATTTAAACCAAATGATTTAGGTTTATAGTATAAATTTAAAATATAAATTTCAATTTCAATTTCAAAATTAAATAATAAATTATAAAAATTATAATTAATTATGATATTATATTTAAATTTTCATGTAAAAGTAGCTAGAGCGCTACTTATTTAATTTCAAAAAAAGGAGCGCGCTAAAAAATAAATAATTGGAAAAAAAGTAGCGAGCTATTAGCTATCGCTACCAAAAAAGAAAGCGCGCTACTTAAAAATATAAGAAAATCTCAATTCTAAAAATATATCTTATCTTTAAATTTGTAGAAAAGTTTTTATTTATAAGATATATAGTAAATAATATCTTATTTTATTAATAGGTGTACCATTATCAAGATACCATTTCAATTTAAGATCACTATTAGTGGAGATTTTATTTACGATTAATTATGTGCTCTGGAAAATAATGCAAGCGTTAATGAGCATCTATGCGATTACTTTGCTTAGAGGGAATGATTTAATTGGAAAACTTAAAAAGTAGACTGGTTGTAACATTAGAGCTAAGTTGAATATTCTGGGTATGTTTCGCAGAAGAAGGTATAAATTATTTCCTTCTAAGTGAGCCAAAAGCAGTTCGTAAATCAAAATGTAGTATCTTGTATTAGGAGGATGACATGAATGGGGTGGAGCCTCACATTTTCCATGAATATTAAATCCGAGCTGATTAGGTTTAATAGATCAGACAAACATGATTTTATATTTAAAATTATCCTGGTTTACTTCTAAATAACATCTTAATTTTATAAACCATTAAAAAATTATAAAAACTTCTTCAATTGCTGCGGCAGACAGTCGGTGCCCGGCCACATTCATAACATCGTCGATCCTAGACATAACTGATACAAAATTATCTTCATCAATTTTTCCGGCATCGTAAGTATCATAATACCCCTTAAAAAATATTTTTTTCCAAATAAAATTCGATTTAATAAAATTTAAAGATAAAGAGTAATAATATATATAAAATATGAAGATTATAGAAATAATAATAAATTAGTCTATCTCAAAATAGATAAAAATTTGAGTACTCGCAAAAATAAAACGGCATACCATAAAATGGCCTCCCAAATTCATTATAAGTTAAAAAGAAAATAAGATCTTTTATTTATTTATTACATGATAATTGGAGAAATACAATTTAGTAAAGTAGTCATCTGATTTCCATAATGTGGTCATAAACCCAGGAGGGAGGGGTAATTTTATCAGTATTCTACCCAATTTTTCATCTTGTAAAATATTCACATCAGATTTATCATCATCCATAACGACTCTTTTTTCCAAAGGTCTGCTTTCATCGACTGAGTCTCTAACATTTACCTTATTGAGATATAAATCGGCAATTAAAGAGGGGCCATTTGTGGTGGTGACAAAATTATTTGATTTAGGTTTATGGGAGTAATATATTTTCACGTCCCAGCCAGGTACTGGTTTCCCAGACACACCGCGTCGTATATTTTTTATATCATCTTTATCCATTAAGCCTAAGCAGCATGCAGTCACAGGCCATCCTGTCTCTTAAAAAAAATGGAATAATTAAAATAGTTTCTATTATATCTTTGATAATATTTCTTTTCTTTCTTTTTATATAGAAGAAATAATATACCTGATTGCCACCAATGATCTATAACTGGGACACCAAACTTTGCCTTCGCCCATTCTAAAGTTCCATGATCACAGTGTTCTCCGGCTAAAAATATTGACTTCAAACTTTAAAAATACATATTTTACTTAATTCATCAGCCTAAATTAAAATAAAAATGCATTCAAAATATTTTTATGTGTCACTACCATCGATTTACTTAAATTGAGCCAACCCGTTAGATCTTAATTTAAAAAAATGATTATAAAGAGAGATGAGTACAACGTTTCTTTCATAAAAACAATTTATGTTTTTTAGAATAAACATTTTTACACACCGCTTAAAGGCAACATTATTTTCATATTAAGTTAACTTCAAGTTGTCTTAAACTCCAGAGCAATAACATACAATGAGGCAATGAACTTTAAAAAAGATATTAAATACCTTTTCAAATCATAATTGCGGCTTTGCAGGGCTTCCGGATCCTAAAAAAAATACATTTTAAAATAGGGACTTCTACATCGATAACTTTTAATTTAGCGTGGCCGATCAATAATATATTATTAAACCTTATATTTTATATTTTTATTTCAAATTAGTAATCTGCATCGGGCCTAATTTTTCAAGCCAGGCCCGAAATTTTTTTTAAAAAATTTTGCCGGCCCGATCCGAACCCGAAATATTTTTTAAAAGGTTTTGCCGGCCCGGCCCGAACCCGAAATATTTTTAAAAGGTTTTGCCGGCCCGGCCCGAACCCGAAATATTTTTTAAAAGGTTTTGCCGGCCCGATCCGAACCCGAAATATTTTTTAAAAGGTTTTGCCGGCCCGGCCCGAACCCGAAATATTTTTTAAAAGGTTTTGCCGGCCCGGCCCGAAATATTTTTTCAAATTACAATATAATATTATTACACTTTATTAAATAATTATTTAGTGATAATTTACTTGCAAAATATATCTTATATATATATACATATAAAAAATTTATAAATATAAAATAAGAATAATTTGAACACAAAATATAGTGAAATAAGTAAAAGTAGACATACAAATCGCAATATATTTTATAAAGAGTCATTCGATATTCTAATATTGTATAATTTAATTTATATTATAACTTATTTTAATTAATATTATAATTTATTTTAATTAATATTATAATTTATTTAAACTAATTTTATATTTTTATACTTATTCTTATTATTATTTAAATTTAATTAGAAACATCACTTTTCAACATTTATAACAATAACAAAGCAAAGGGTATTTTTTGACGAAGCATCAAGTTTTATACTAGAGAAGCAATTGAAAAAAAAATTTATTAATTGAACCATACAAAATATTAAGATTTATAAATAAACGGAATTCGCTTTTGTTTTGAGTAAAATTTTTATTGATAATTTGAGCATCGAATCTATCATATTTTCAATTCGATTTTCGCCAAATGTTTTTAATTAAATCATTGATTGCAAATAGGTTAATTTTTTTACCGCAGCCACATTTTTCCTTTGAGGATAATAGGCATGACCAACAATATAGAAAATTAGGAAATTCACATCTAATATTAATCAGTAGAAAAATTACGAATGTAAGTTTTGATTTTCAAGTTTTGTAAAATTGGTTTTGGTATTCCTTTTTGAATGATAAATTTCTAAGCATCAAAATTGATTGCGCTAAATTATCACAATTGCAATTATTCGAAATTTTAAATTAATTATTGTTTTTAAAAAAGAAGAAATTTTTTATGAAAAAAATAAAATTTCTTTTTTATTTATTTATTTTATATTATCTTTATTTAAATTTTCCATTTCAAATATTCAAAACATTTAAAAATATATATATTTGAAATTATTTTGTTAGGCATAGAGCCGAGGATGGAGATAAAATTAAATCTACATATATCAAGAGATATTTTTTGTCTGAGATATAAATTTTCTAATGGCGAATATATGTTACGTTTGGATGATTCGGCGGCGGCAATGGATGAAAAAAATAAACATTTTTTATTTGCTTCCCCAACGCTTATTTTTTTAAAAGTAAAATTACACAATATATTAGCATGATTATCTCCAGACACCTGCAGCCTGGCCCTAAACATGTCCAGGGTACACGGGCCGTGCCTTATTTTTTTAAAATAAATCCAAGAGGGGGGGGCGAATATATTTAAGGTAAATATTTTAACTCGTTATTATCTATTGAAATAAATAAAATGCATTTAAAAATTGTGTTTATAAAACAATATACATTCTTTCACTTATCATATTTTCTATCCATTTTTCCGATTCTTAGAAAATATTTAAGTAAAATCTTATTCAATCAATTATCAAACTAATAATTGTCAAAATGCAACAAAAATACACTCAATATTCAAATATAATACACTTTTTAAGGGAAAAATTCATTTTATGCAAGTATCTTTTATCTCTCTTTTCTCTGTCTCAAATTCAGGAAATTACGTATGTTGCCAGAGAGAACGCAAAATGACTGATACATGACTATATTAAATTACAAGTGGAAAAGGAAATAAGGGTTACCATCGACCAGTCGAATATAAAGTGTAGTGATTCAACTCAATTCACTCCTTTTACGACATTGGGGATAGAAGATAATTTGAAAAGTTATTATATAAAGGTTCATATTTACTGAAAAACGATTCGTAAAATACCGAATGGGTATATATATTTTTTTTAAACCATGGTAGTAAAAAAATTTATACCCTCTTGCCTAAATTTTTTTTAAACATATCGGGTGGAAATTTCTTTTTAAAGCTGACCACGCCTGTAAATAAACCAGGGTCGGGCCAGACCGATTTTTTCAAATCCGGGCTGGGGCGTGCAATGATAACACGGCGGTCTCTGATTTTCTCTTTATTTATTAATAAAAATAAATCAATTTTATATCTGCTTCCAGCATGTATATTTATTTTAACATAGTAAAAATAATATTAATTTTTTAACGTAATAAAATAATATTAATTTTTTTAACATAGTAAGAAATAAGAATTACATTAATTTTTTAAGGTAATAAAATAATAATGCGGTAATAATAGTATTAATTTTTTAACGTAATAAAAATAATATTAATTTTTTAACATAGTAAAAATTATATTAATTTTTTAAGGTAATAAAATAATAATTAATAATAGTATTCATTTTATTAACGTAGCATAAAGATTATAGCAATATTTAGAAACATTTTAAAAATAAAGTACAAGGGAAGCAATGCTTCCCTTGCTTTTATGGAGGCTTCGTCATAGATTTTTATAAGTTCACTACAGGGATGGGATGAGGATAGTTACTCAGACATATTTATTACTATTTCCTTTTCTAAAAACGGTAATTAATTATATGAAATCGTAATTTTCTAGAGTAATTATAATTACATAATTTCAATTCCTTTGAAGGAGGGGTCTTATTTTTATATTTTAATAAATTTTGGTCCATGTTTAGCAAATTAGGTTGTATTCCTAGATTTCTTATCATAAAAAATTTTTCCAATATCAAAATATGCTTAAAAATATTAAAAAATACAAAGCTAAATTAATATGCACATGCCATAATAATACAAGAGATGATAAATGGACAGACCACATTAGAAAAAGCCATAATGGGCTTAATTTTAACGAAATAAAGAAAAGCTTTGAAATAGTACTTTTAAGAATATTTCTCAAAATTGGACGAATAGCAAAGTAATTTTTTTTATTAAATATTTAATTGTTTATACTTATCTTATAATAAGATGGCTAAAACGGGTGGGGGGGGGGGGGGTGTAATTATATACACGTGACCTAGAATAAAGAATCTGTCAGTCTGAGATTTGTAAATTTATTTAATTAAAATATTTTTACTAATACATGATTTACCTCCTTCTTCTGATGTTGATAATTCTGAGACTTATGATTCAGATTACTATTCGTTTATTTTACCTTATCGTCTACTTTTAAATTTTTCTGCTTTCCCTATAACAGATTTATATAAATATTTATTAACCATTCCTACTACCTCATGTACTGCCGAAAGGGTCATAAGAAGTAAAACAAGATTTCGTAGTACCATGAAAGATCTATTTCTTAATAATTTAACCATTTTATCAATAAAAAATTTTTATTTAAACAATTAAACATTGGCGAAATTATAAATTCTTTCGCTTTCTCTTCCCCTAATTTGTCTAAATTATTAATTTAAAAATAATATTTTAAAACACATATTTTTTACATTTTATTTATATTTTATATTAAAAATTGATGCAATAAAAATTATTTTTCAAATTTATGGTTGTCAAAAAATAATTAAGCATATTTTCGAAGGGGGGAGGGGTATTTTTCAGGGGGTATTTTGTTTCCATCGCTCAGAAAGTGTAGGGGCCACTGTATGGGCATAAATATATGAAAATCTTTTTCTACCATTATTAACAAATCATATTGAATATATTTTTAACTAATATTTAAAACGTATATTTTCTTTAAATATATCTATATTTCGAGTTTGTTATTTAAACTTGTCTATAATACTTATTTAGGAAAGTTGAAAAGCTAAATAGTCTTTCTACAGATGTTGATGAAGACAACAATGCAGTACACTTATTATAACAAAATTTACAATTAAAATCATTAGCACTTGATGACTTATTTTGGATGACTTTGAAACAAATTCATGTAAAGTAGGTTCAATATTTGCCTTTAATGATCCATAAAATAATATTTTTAATAATTTAATTGTGGTAAAGAATGTTTTCTCTAAGAGAACAAGATTAGGAACAAAAATTTAATATTCAAATAAATATACTTTTAAATATTTTAGGAAATTAATGGTGGGTTAATTGTGGCCTTTACGATTTGATTGCAGTGTGCACAAGCAGTGCTTGTGTTTTTATCATTTTATAAGTTATTTTAAATAAAATTGGATAATATTGACAGTTTCGATTTATCTTCTATTGAATGTAAGAATGTATTTGAAGAGCAATTTCATCGTTCGAGTCCAAATCAAAAATTAAATATTCAGAATCACTCATTACATTTCCGCCAAAAATATGTATAAAATATTGCAATTTTCCATAAAATTAATTAAATAAGAAAAGGAATTATAAGTGTAATTATGAATTATAACTGTTTATTCCTAATTACATGCCTGAAAATTTAATTAATTGTAATTACTAACTTAAGTGAAATTAATTACTTACTAATTATAAAAGAAGAATTGTAATTATAGTTAATTACATATATAATTAATTATTGCCCAGCCAATATAATGTAATTTTAAAATAAAAACTCGATTTTATATTATAAAACTGTAAAAATTTTATAATATTAATTTCAATCAGTTTACTATTATTTACAATCTTGTTCAGTAAGTAATCATAAGATAAATTAAATTTTATAAGATAATTATGTGCGTTTAGATTCAAAATGGATTTAAAAATTATTAGATAAACTAGAAAGTAAAAACAGAACCCTTTAAATTTTAGCAGTTTAGGAAAGCGGAGATAAATTCACTTTATTTTAAAATAATAACTTCTCTGCGTATGGCTCTTATGGCAGTGGGGGCTGCAAATAAACATGATACATTGTGATTATCTATTATTCGAAAATAAGCTGCAGCATTTGGTGTACCAATTGGTTTACCCTTAATAAAAAAATTAAATAATTTGTAGTTTGTACATATATTAATAAATGTAGCCAATCAAAGATAAATTTTTGGTGAATATGTGAGAGAAATCTTAAAACTTATCATAGTTGGATAATAATAATACCATCCAAATCCAATTAATTTTAAAATAAGAATCAACTAAATCTAAAGATTTGAAACTTCAAACTCGTTTTACTCATTTTAATAAAAAAGCAAGTAGAGCACCTCAAATAATCAGGCGACGCTATGTTAAATATAAGTAACTTTTATTTTATTTAAACTTTTTTGACTGACGCTATTGTCAAAATATTTTTAAAATATGACGGGTCGGGTAACATTAAAAAATTGTCTTAGGCCGGACAAAATACTTTTACGGGCCAGAATGGAAAACAGTTTTAAAAATAGTTAGAAGTAGGTCATGCTGGAATCGAATATATAGTAACGGGTTATTGAATCATAGGGATGGACTCTCTAAATTTTAAATCATTTATTGTAGGCGATTTTTAAATTTAAAAACTGATTGGAAGAAATGTATATCTACTTCATTATTTTAAATATATACAGAAAAATATATAACAAATAACCTCATAAAGAATTGTTGTATTCCGATTTAATAATGGTCCATAGCATGCATATGAATGGCCAACAACCCAGCCTAAATCAGATGCTGCCCAGAATACTTCACCAGGATGCACGTTAAATATATTTGTCATTGACCACTTTAAAGCGACTGCATATCCAGCTGAAGGCCGAACTATACCCTGATATCATACATTTAAAAAAATTATCAATGTATTACTATTATAATAACTATTGAATTAATTAATAAGGGTCACTCATTTTATAAAAAAAACTATTAATAATGTTATTCGTTGTAAACCTCTAAAAAAATGGAAAAAAATTTGGAGGATAGGGGCATCGATCCCCTTACCTCTCGCATGCTAAGCGAGCGCTCTACCATATGAGCTAATCCCCCAATCCCATTTTCGTGTAATAAAAGGTTATATATATTTGACTTTCTATATCATAGGTATTTATTAATAACTTATTATAAAAAAGATCATAAATAATTGAGAAAACTATATAAAAACTAAAATAATGTGTTCTGATTGAAATTATGATTTTAAAAAATCAAATTAAACCTAAGGCAATGATTTAGCCTACTTTGTATTAAATTTATCTAACTATAATTAATTTTTAATTTTTAAAGACAAAGAGTCAATTATATGTTTATTATGAAAAACGATTCCGGTTATCACGTGATCAAGTACAAACGTTATTAACAGTAAGATTTTTCCTTTTGGGAAACACGATATATACATAACAGCAAGAATTAAAGATTAAATTTAAAATAATGGCAAGAAGGATGATGATGATAATGATACGTAGACCGATTATATGATAATTCAAAGGTCCCCAATAATCACAAACGATATTAACATATAGTTTCTTTTACAAGAAGCACGATATGGACATTAGTGATCTGCATCGGGCTTAATTTTTCAAGCCCAGTTTGAACCCGAATTTTTTTTTTAAAAAATTTACCAGCCCGGACCGAATTTATTTAAAATTTCTTTTTCTTTATAGCTTTCATCTTTTCTGGTGGTAAGCTCCTTCAATATCTCTCCACTTTATGTTATTCATGCTATCTCTCTTATCTAATTTATACTTCTTCATAGTGGCTCTAACTTTATGGCCCCATTGTAGTTTTGGCCTTCCTCTTTTACGTTTGCCCATCACTTCCAATATCTCATATTTATTTCCTATATAGTTCATAGGTCTTCTCATTGTGTGCTCATACCACTTAAGTCTGTTCACCATTATCATAGTCTTAATAAGCACTAACTTTAAACTTCCTAGAATTCTTGTACTTGCACCTTATCCTTTCTTGATACCCCAGAAATCATCCTCAGCATTCTCATCTCCATAGTTTGTAGACTTCTCTCTTCTGATTCTTTGGTTGGCCATGTTTCCGAACTATATAGAATAGTTGGTTGCTATATGGAACTGTAAATTTTTCTCTTCAATTTGTGCGGGATTCTTTTGTCAAAGAGCACTCCAGATAAAAATCTCCACTTTAACCACCCTTGATTAATTTTACTCTTTATCTCTTTCTATTGTGCCGTTTGTTTGTATAGTGGAGCCCAAATATTTGCAGCTTTCAATTACCGATATCTGCCATTCATTTATATCAATGCTCTCTGTTTCATCTCCTCCTATCACCATATACTCCGTATTTTCTCTGTTTACTTTTAGTCCGAGCTTTTCTAGAATATTTATCCGACTCATTAATCTTTCTTTCATTTCATCCTTGGATTCGGCAAGTATAACAATATCATCTGCAAATATCATATTCCACGGGACTGTTTGTGGTATAGACTGTGCTAATACATCTATTACTGTTATGAAGAGAAGTGGACTGAGAGCCGACCCTTGATGAACTCCCTCGGCTATTGTGAAGCCTGCTGAAGTACCAGTTGTGCTACGGACCATTGTTGTATGGCACATATACATATCCTGTATTATTCTTATATATTTTTCGGGAACCTTTTTGTGGCGTAGCGCCCACCAGATATGTTTTCTTGCGATTCTATCGAAGGCCTTTTCTAGATCAAGAAAGACCATGTGTAATTTTTGTTCTTTTCCCTGTATTTTTCACTTATTTGCCTAATTGCGTGGATCGAATCAGTTGTTGATCTTCCAGGCATAAAGCCAAACTGAGTCTCTGATATTTTAATTATGTCTCTTAACCTTTTTTCTATTATTTTTTCGTAAAGTTTAAGACAGTGTGACATTAATTTTATGCCCCTGTAATTTTGACGATTGTGTGGATCCCTTTATTTTTGAAGATAGAAACTAGAGAGCTCTGCCTCCATTTTTGAGGAATCTCTTCGTTTCCCATATAGAAATTAATTTTTATAATTACTCAAAATAAACGATATATGTTATATGACGTCTAGTTTCTATATATAAAATCAAATATTTTTATTTTACATAAAAAATTCAACATAAAATTGATAAATTCAGATAAATTTATAAAAAATTCCAAGACACGACCGGCCCGAATTTTTTTAAAAAATATTAGGTCCGACCCAGCCCTTAAAAAATTGGCCCGACATTTTGCGGATCTCTAATTGACATACCACACACTTTTAAAGATTAAAATCATATTTTTACAAAAAAATAAACTAACCGGAGCGTCAGGTCACAGGTGTATTACATTATTATTAATTTTTGAAATACATATTTGAATGGATCGAAAGTATGAATCTGACTGTTTATTCCGGCAGAAATTTGCTTTTTTTATTTTTCACCGGATTGTACAAAAATATTATTTTTGAGCAGGTGTATGAATTTTATTTAATAATCACTTATATTATTGTATTATAGTTAAAATTTATTTAATTTTAAAAGGTACATTATTACTAAACGATTAATTACTTGCCGCCAGCCACAAGATAAAGATGAAAAAAGAGAAAAAGAAATAATAAACGAGAAGAAAAAAATTAAGAAAAGGTGAAAAATATAGATTAAAATGGATATAAAATTAAAGAGAGATAGTTAAGAATTAAGAAAATAACAAAAAAGACCAATGTTAAAAAAATGGCATTTCACTATTAGATTAAAATTTGGGCGTCAACTTTAAAAACTGGAACCAGAACTCACTTTTCAAAATTTAAAGAACCGAAATCTTTTTTTTAATGTTAAGAACAGGAACCCTTTTTAGTCTAGGTGCTCGGATTTCATTATGTTGATCGGCTCTTCGAAAAATGAGCGATTTAGTTTTCAAAAGTCAGAATATGAGAACTTTTCTTATTTTTATGTAGTATCAGATCTTTTTTTCTCTCTCTCCGTTTGGCCTTTGGTACTAAACCCATTAAAGTTTACAATATGGTACATGGCAGCTATTATAAGATCTTGATTTAAATGTTTATAAAGAAGAAATTATTGTAATTGAAACATAAAATCCTAAATAAATTTGGAAAATAATAAGGATAACAGTTTCCCATTCAAAAAAGGAAGAAAAATGAGATCAGGAAAGAAAAGTCCCCATCAAAAAAAAAGGACCGATCAAAAATGGAAAAGTTTCAATCAAAAAAGGAATAAGTCCTATCAAAAAAGAAAAGCATCCAATTAAAAAAGGAAGGTTTCAAAGATTTAAGAAAAGTTCCAATCAAAAAAGAAAAAAATCCAATCAAAAAAGTAAAAAATCCAATCAAAGAAAGAAAAGGTCTGAATCCAGAAAGGAAAAGTATCAAAGACTTAATAAAAGCCCCGATCAAAAAAGAAAAAGGCCCTATAAGGAAAATCTTTAATCAAAAGGAAAGGTTCCAAACAAAGCAATCAAAAAATTAATAAATAAACCCACCAAAATGAATCACTAAGCATTTTAAAGAATATATAAATTAGTAGCACTTGTTAGGGCAGACCGCTTCCAGAACCAACACCCTGTAAATTTTAAAATGGGTTCCGGTTCTCGTTTCTATAAATTATAAAAGAGGGATCCAGGTTTTGGTTTCTATATTTGTCCCAATCATTTCACCTTTTCTATACTCTCTTAAACTAAACCCCATTTTTAAAAAAAATCCCTAACTTAGGCTTACTCAACTCGGCAAAAAAAAAGTGTGGAGACCAGAACCCTGGCTTTAACATTTTACCAAATAAGTATCCAGTTAAAATTACAATGTTCAAATTATCTTTAATATTAAATTTTAAATATATTGGGTTAAGAAAATCAAATATAATTTTCACGCATCTAAATTTTAACTGTTTTGATGATACAAAAAACAAAATTGTGGAAGAATTTATCATTAAACTAATTTTAGTATAAGGGTTTGCCTATAGCCATTTCATCTAAGACATTTCGCCTATAGCTTTTTCGCCTAAGGAACGCCAATAATCGCCAATGTGCCGGCGATTCACCTATAAATATTTCGCATAAGACATTTTGCTTATAGTTTTTTTGTTCAAGGAGCCCCAATATATCGGCGATTAGTCTATAAACATTTCGCTCATTAGCGCTTGTTCGCACTTAGGCAAAAAAGCTATAGAGGAAATGTCTATAGGCGAAACGCCCCCCAACCCATAAGGAAGTGTGCTTTTAGTTGTTAAATAAAAAAAAATGTAGATTTTAGGTTTGCATTATATATCTTCTTCTGGGTAATAATAAGTTAGAATTTTCAAACCCCTTCCACTGTCCCTCTATTAGTAGAAGTAAGATTTCCAAGCTACAATGAAGTATATCTGTCTCGCGCCCTTTATCACATGGGACTATTTTGATCTTTGATGTTATTAATCAAACCAATATCAAGCGAGGCATAAATAAGAAAATAAAATATTAATATATAATAAAAATAGTACCTTGGGAAGCCCCGTCGTTCCAGATGTGTATATGATATATAAAGGACTTTCACCTGCTAAAGGAATACATACATCGCTGTAATTATTTGTCATCTCAAACTCCCAATCATCGTCATGTGTACTAGTTAGACATATTTTGTCCTATATAAATTTTTTAACAACACAAAATAATTCCAAAATATATTCTTCTAAGTTTTTTTAAGATCGGATCGGTTCCAGTCACTGATATTTTTAAGAATGCCGGTTATTGGTTGATATTTTTAAATTGGCTGATCCATATAAAAATGGCAGATAAAAAATTTAAGTTATATTAAGGAATCTTTTTAAAAATATGATAATTTTTTTTAATTAGAGCAATAGCCTATATTTGCTTTATATATTTATTTTATTGATATTTACTTTGGTTTATTCTATTCCCTAGGTATTGTTTTCATATAATTCTTATTTATAATCGGATCAGTTGATAGGTAAACCCCGATCAGATTTTATAAATATATATTATTAAACCTCTAAGTTTAACAAATTTAAATATTCATATATCAAATTTAGGCCTCCCAAAAGACGAATCACTTATTAGTGTTGTTAAACGGCTTGATTTGAGCCTATCAGCAAAATCTTCAGGCTTGCGTAATATTTTTCTGGATAAAATATTATAGCCATTTTTAAAAATAGGCTTAAATTGAGCCGTTTAACAACACTAATTCGTATACTACTGTTTTAAAGTTTGCGGAACAAATAATTTAATATTAATATTGTATTTATAATAATTGAATAATTTTAATATTCGTAATTTGATTGAGCCCTGTAAGTCAGATAAAAGCCGGGCTCAAAAATAAATATACAAAAATTGAGTCGGATTCGGTATAGAACAAAAAATAAATCGGTCCTAACTCGGTTTATAATAAATATTTTTCCTTTTCCTTTATTAAAATAAAACGACAATTGGAATATTATCTGGAATTAGGGCAAAGCAATTAGTAATTTTTATTTTATTTGACTTTATAAATAGTTAATGTCATTATTTAAATAATATATTTAATTTATAATTCAAACACACTTTATATTTTAATAAAAACTTATAAAAATCATTTCTTAAATAAAGACCATCACAAATTGCATAACCCCTAACTATAATTTACTATTTAAGATTATATATAATATATAAATATTATAAAATGATACAAAATAAAGTTACATAATAAAATATAAAACTCGAGAAGTCATAATAAATAAAATACTTTAAATACATTTTTTCCATATAATAATGTAGGAAAATTGGTCTTCAGTGAAGGATAATATTCTTTTGATTATATAATATTATCTCTTAATAATTATCAAATTTAATATAATAAGGTTCCATGTGACAATTATTTTCAAGTAGGTGAGTTAATACATATAAAAGATTGAGCAAAATACCACCTAAAAAATTTTTTAAAATATGGAGGGGGGGGGGTGCTCAAAAATAAAATTAGGGTGCTACTATCTTAGTGAAAATGATTATTACTTTTGTGTTATCATATTTAATTATTTTAATATTTGCTAATAAATGAAATTTTATAATGAATAAAAATGAGTACCACACTAATTAAAAATGTTTAGATATATTTTTAATTTTAATTTAATTTAAAATAAGGGTTAAATTTATTGCACAAAATTATTTAATAAATTTGAAAAAAACCCAAATAAGTCCCAAATCAATCAATTCCGTATGTTCTAATTAATCTAGTTTAATTTTATCAAAGTGTGCTTATTATCACCTTCAAGTAGATAGCCCTGATGGAATAAGAGTGGGACATAAATACCTCTTTAAATTTGCCTAGATAATCAACCTCTTCACAGATAGAAAGGGATTTACCGCTGATTGCTTAAACAGCCAATTTTATCATTTAAAAATGGTAAATGACTTGAGGTTATCCCGAACTTAGGATTTTGTTTACTACCGCGTCTCAATTTCTATAGGATCCATACTAAATTATACTCCGTAATCTCCTTCCTGTTCACTATTTTTCACTGAGGCAAATTTTTTGGCCGTACACCCTACGTGTCGCCTCTTCGCTTTGTACACTCACCGAGAAGTGGTAATTCTATTCTAACTTATAAACATGCGTCCCTTACATTCAAAGGATGTATTTTCAATTCAGGTGTTCTCTTGCCTATAACACATGATGCGGAGACATAACTCATAAAGGTAAATAACATAGGTAATTAAAATGGAATGCATTAAAAATGGGTTAATTAAATGGATGACAAAAGGTTGAAAGGCCAAAAACTATGGTTGAGTTTAGAAAAACTGTAGGAATTGTACCAATCTGATTACGCACCCATTGACTGAGGTGAGTGGGAAATATCTATTGTAAGACAAACGCGGACTGGGTTAAGATAACAATGTTGAAAATAAATGGTAAGAGGCCTGAAGAAATACCAAAACAAGGTTGGCCGGGCAAAGATGGTAGAAAAAGATTTACAACTAACTAACCCAAACGTATCAGGTTTATTCGGGAGAATACTTTATAGAGCTTGTGCTATAAAAATAAACATTAATCCCCTTTGCAAAAAAAAATGTATTTAATTTAATCCGTACGTTCCCCTTTCCATGCCCTCGCAGCGGCATGCTGATGAAATCAACCAGACACCATTCCCTGCACCGCATATACTATAAATGCAGATTTATCTTACACAAGATAATTAACATGATTATCTGCAATGCTTTGACAAAAATGTAATTTTGAACCTAGAGAAATGAAGTTGGTGACAACAAATCTTCCGACTGAAATAAACTCTCATTCTTTTAGGAACGCTGGCCCGATTCCTTGTTTGGGATTACATTGACGTATTTGTCAAATCCAAAAATAACCACTTCAAATGTAAACATCAAAATACATCTCCCTCACTAATACCCCATTAATTCACAACTTTGGATATCATTAAAATTTTAACTGGGCAGAAAAATTTATAATTACACCAGTGTTGCAATGGTGAACTTTTTAATTGCACAAAAAATATCTTTAGAGATATGATGTTCGAACACAATCTCAATCCATGGGTGATTATTAAATAATTCCTTTCTATAAATCTTTCTACATTTTAGAAAAAATTAAATTCATTATTAAAGAAAAATATTAATAAATTTTAACTGAAAATTCGCATAGCCATTTCATGAAAACGCATTATATTCGTATAAAACGTGTCAAATACCCAAAAACGCAAAAGTGAAACTAAATGATGTCCTTTGTATATTTTTTTAAAAAAAACTATAGCCATTTTGAGACTTCCTTTTTACGTGTGACAATTATTTAAATTATAAAGGTAAGAATCAGAACTAATTGACCTTGAGCCTGCTTTTTTTTTGTAAATCTAAGGAGATAAACTTCAACTTAAAAAAGCAAGCATTTAAGCTATAAAAATGAATTGAGTTTTAAACCTAATAAATGATAATAAATTTTTGTTTAAAATGTATATTTTTTTAATATTTGATATATAAAAAAAATTGAAGATTTAAAAAATATATATATTAAATGACTAAATTAAGTAATTATTATTCAAGGATAAAGATTATATATTTTTTTTGATATTACAATTGACTTTGAATATGGTATGTTATTTTGTATTATACATATTATACTCGTTTATATTTATAACAAATAAGAAATCTATATAATGATAAAAATTAACCTTCATTTCCTTCCTTTGGTAAATCAAACATTTGTTAGGCTTATGATTTGAAAATTTGAGCGCTTGATCCATGATAGGCTTATAAGGTACGAACCTTGTTGGTTCAATACCGTGAGAGGCTGTTAAAATTAATTTAGGCTTTGATTATAACGTTTGATATGGATAAAAAATTAGATACAGGATTTCCCGTCCGATAACAAAATTTAAATTAGGAAAAAATATTTAGTAAATATTTTGCGACAAAATTGGAGAGATTGTGCGTTTTCGGAGTTGAATCTTGTGGTATTATGTAAATTTAATATTGTACGAAATTTAACATTTTTATATTTGAATAATAATAGTTTAATTTTATATGTTTATTCTTCGAAAAATTAGTAATAGTTGTACTAGATTTTACATTTTTATATTTAAATAATAATATGTTAATTTTATATTTTTATACTTCGAAAAATTATTATATATTATATGCAAATAATTATGTATATATATATGATTCAATTTTCAATAAAGTTAGTTAGAGTGGAATTTTATAAAAAAGAAAAATTTGTTTACATTAATTATAGTATCTGAAATTAATTACAGACAGAGAGATTCTAAATATTTCTAAATAGAGAAAAGTAATACGATAATTTAATAAATTGGAATTATTTAAAAGAGTTTACATTATAGTATTTTAGGTGTGCTCAAAAGTAAGTGGTTAGCAATCGTTATTATTAAAATTAATCCTTTACAATTTGTAACAAATCCGAACTTAACTCAGGGTGTTAATGTTGTATTGGGAGTGCTAATTAGGAATCAAAGGTATATTAAATCTATATAAATAAAATAAAGGATTAATTTTAATAATAACGATTGCTAACCACTTACTTTTGAGCACACCTAAAATAATATAATGTAAACTCTTTTAAATAATTCCAATTTATTAAATTATCGTAATACTTTTCTCTATTTAGAAATATTTAGAATCTCTCTGTCTGTAATTAATTTCAGATACTATAATTAATGTAAACAAATTTTTCTTTTTTATAAAATTCCACTTTAACTAACTTTATTGAAAATTGAATCATATATATATACATAATTATTTGCATATTAAATATAATAATTTTTCGAAGAATAAAAATATAAAATTAACATATTATTATTTAAATATAAAAATGTAAAATCTAGTACAACTATTACTAATTTTTCGAAGAATAAACATATAAAATTAAACTATTATTATTTAAATATAAAAATGTTAAATTTCGTACAATATTAAATTTACATAATACCACATCTCCCTCCTTCAGTTCTCCCTTACCCCATTGTGTTCGCCGCTTCTACCATGTTCCTGCTAGGTACACTTGAATTACTATTCGTTGTTAACTCCAAGCTGGGACAAAACCGTAATTTATGTTCTCCACCACAGGCCCAACAATCTAATCTCCTTCTTGCACCATATGGGGTTGTTCTTCGATCCCCTCTTGTTCTAGTCGGAACTTCTTGTAACCACTCCCCGTATCTTCGTCTGGCTTCATTCCTTGCCGCTTCTACCCATCTGTTTGATTCTTCTGAACCGTCAACGTCTCTTATCTCGATCCTCATTATCTTGTTACCAACTCTAACATACGAGGCCATCTAAATAAAATACTTTATACACATATATATATATTCTTCGAACTCTTATTTCTCTATACTAGGTTAAAATTTCTTCTCTAACTCTTTAAGTCTATCAACCCTTTTATTTCCTTCAATTATGATTCTCCTACTATGTATATCATCAATTTATTTTTTTCTAAATTATGAATCTCTTAATTATGTCTCATCAGTAAATCTGATTATCATAATTACGTCTTTCATCAATTTATTTCTTCTAATCCTTCGTATATTTCTTATTTCTCTCTAAGGCCCTAAGCTTCTTAACCTTACTTGCTTCAGGTGCCTTGTAAAAACTCCTTCTTGTCCTTCAATCTTTACTTCTACTTTTTTTTTCCTATATTTTTGCTTATTACACCCTTCCCCCATTTAATAGGCCCATCAAACAACAATACCCACACCAAACTTCCTACTGGAAATCTTTCAATCTCTACTTGTTCTCTCCTTATCACTTTTTCCTTTAAAAGATTTAATTCTGATCTCGTCTTTCTTCCTAAAAATATTTCAGCTGGTGACTTTCCTTTTGCTGTTTCCGTACTGTTGTATGCTAACAATGATAATCACCATTTACCTTCTCCATATTTTTCCTTTTTCAACCAACTCTTTACTAACGCTACCATTCGCTCAGCTTGTCCATTGCTTCTTGGGTAATAAGGTGGTGATAATAAATGTCTAATATTCCACCTATCACAAAATTTATCAAATGCTCTACCTTTAAAAGCTGGACCTCCATCTGATACTATCGTCTTCATTAATCCATATTTACCTACAAAATCCTTTATCTTATCTAAAGCTACTCTTGTTGATAAACCTGAAACTTGCTGACAATCTATCCATTTTGAAATATCTTTTCTTCTCATATTCTAAAAAATCTACATGTATTCTTTCGCATGGAATGTCTGTCTTTGGCCATTTATCTTCCTTATTCTTTGCTGGAACATTAGCCCACATGTTACAGGTTTCACAGCTCCTCGCTAACTCTTCTATTTCCTTATTCATCTTAAGCCACCACATATATTCTCTTGCTTTATTTTTCATTCTTTCTATTGCTTGATGACCTGAATGTATTACATTTAAGGTTTCCTTTCTTAATTTATTCGGTATCACTAATCTATATCCTCTCAATAAACAATTGTCTTCTATATTTAATTCACTCTTAACTTTTTTAAACGCTTTATCTTCATTTTTCCATTCTATATCTCCTTTTAAACAAGCTTTAATTCTTATTAATTCTTCATCTTGTTGGGATATCTTTTCTACTATTTCAAATGTTATAGGTTTTTCTCTTGTATCTATTCTCACAGCTCTTATAATATTACCATTTACATTTTCTTCTTCTTCTATATATTCTAAACTATTGATTACTGGCTCTTTGTTTTCAATATCTTTATTAAACAATCTTGATAAAATGTCCGGTAAGCAATTTTGTTTACCTTCTCTGAATTTTATCTCAAAATCGAAATTACCAACTAAAATTAGCCATTTTTGCAGCCTAGGTGAAATCATAAGTTCCTTATTTTCCTTCTTAAATAAATCTACCAACGGCTTATGGTCCGTATACAATAAAAACCTTTTTTCTATCAGATATTCCTTGCATTTCGTAAGTCCAAATTTCACTGCTAAAGCCTCTCTTTCTATCGTGGAATAATTTTTCTCAGAGCTATTAAATCGTCTCGATGAAAACAAAATAGGTTTCTCAACATTATCGATCATCTGTAATAAAACTCCTCCTATACCTTCATTAGAAGCATCGACTGCTAAAATAATATTTAAATTCTCATTAAAACAACTTAAAATAGGCTTCTCTGGGTATTGTTGTTTGATGGGCCTATTAAATGGGGGAAGGGTGTAATAAGCAAAAATATAGGAAAAAAAAGTAGAAGTAAAGATTGAAGGACAAGAAGGAGTTTTTACAAGGCACCTGAAGCAAGTAAGGCTTAGAAGCTTAGGGCCTTAGAGAGAAATAAGAAATATACGAAGGATTAGAAGAAATAAATTGATGAAAGACGTAATTATGAGAATCAGATTTACTGATGAGACATAATTAAGAGATTTATAATTTAGAAAGGAATAAATTGATGATATACATAGTAGGAGAATCATAATTGAAGGAAATAAAAGGGATGATAAACTTAAAGAGTTAGAGAAGAAATTTTAACCTAGTATAGAGAAATAAGAGTTCGAAGAATATATATATATGTGTATAAAGTATTTTATTTAGATGGCCTCGTATGTTAGAGTTGGTAACAAGATAATGAGGATCGAGATAAGAGACGTTGACGGTTCAGAAGAATCAAACAGATGGGTAGAAGCGGCAAGGAATGAAGCCAGACGAAGATACGGGGAGTGGTTACAAGAAGTTCCGACTAGAACAAGAGGGGATCGAAGAACAACCCCATATGGTGCAAGAAGGAGATTAGATTGTTGGGCCTGTGGTGGAGAACATAAATTACGGTTTTGTCCCAGCTTGGAGTTAACAACGAATAGTAATTCAAGTGTACCTAGCAGGAACATGGTAGAAGCGGCGAACACAATGGGGTAAGGGAGAACTGAAGGAGGGAGATGTGGTATTATGTAAATTTAATATTGTACGAAATTTAACATTTTTATATTTAAATAATAATAGTTTAATTTTATATGTTTATTCTTCGAAAAATTAGTAATAGTTGTACTAGATTTTACATTTTTATATTTAAATAATAATATGTTAATTTTATATTTTTATTCTTCGAAAAATTATTATATTTAATATGCAAATAATTATGTATATATATATGATTCAATTTTCAATAAAGTTAGTTAGAGTGGAATTTTATAAAAAAGAAAAATTTGTTTACATTAATTATAGTATCTGAAATTAATTACAGACAGAGAGATTCTAAATATTTCTAAATAGAGAAAAGTAATACGATAATTTAATAAATTGGAATTATTTAAAAGAGTTTACATTATATTATTTTAGGTGTGCTCAAAAGTAAGTGGTTAGCAATCGTTATTATTAAAATTAATCCTTTATTTTATTTATATAGATTTAATATACCTTTGATTACTAATTAGCTCTCCCAATACAACATTAACACCCTGAGTTAAGTTCGGATTTGTAACAAATCTAAAATCAAAATCGCTTGAATTAAAATTGAAATGCTTAAATTGCTTACAAGCTCGAATTAAGACATGGGAATATAATTATGAGAAACCCGGCCCTAAGAGCGACACGGGTACACGGAAAGGGCCGTATTTTAATTTTTTAAATATACCCGGGGCGGCCCAAAATAATTTTTTTTAAATACCCGGGCCGGGCCGTATATTTTAAAACCAAATATTTTAAATCGCTATTATTAGCTATAAGAATTAAAAATAAATATAATCGATTTTTAAAAAATCTGGGCCGGGCCTGAAAATTTTTTTTAATCTTGGCCGGACCGAAAAAAATTTTTGAAATAAATTCAGGCCGGGCCGTGCAAATGGTACCTGCAAGTCTGATAATTATTAACTTTTTACTTGCATTTTTAAAAAAATTAAAGTGCATTCAAAACTATAAAAATATTTCAATTTTTGTAAGTCATCGAACGGAAAATCCTGTATTATTAAATTAATATATAAAAAAAATATTGACAATTTTTTAAAAGTAATTAAGCTAAACCTCCGCATGTTTGATGCGAACAGATAGTTCTTTGGCTCCAAAACCTCCAAAAACTAACGAATGTATAGCTCCGATTCGACTACAAGCTAATATACCTACAATAGCCTCTGGTATCATTGGCATATAGATCAAAACCCTGTCACCCGGTTTTACACCATTCTTCACTAAGTACCCTGCTAATCTACTCACCTGAAACAATTTTTGTATGAAAAAATTAACCTCCTTATGTGAACAAAATCTTCTTTTTTTGTTAATTTATATATTTATTCTTTATTTCCTCTTTCTTTCCTTTTTTTCTTTTATTTAGTAAAATAAACAATGAATTTTTTGTTAAACTTTGTTCAATAGTTCTTGGTATGTCAAAGAGGTACTCTTCTCGATAAGCGGGCTATCGTGTATGATTGCTTTTTGATGCCCATGACCTTCTATACAATGTCTATCTAACGAGTTATAACAGATGTTAAATTTCCCTCCGACAAACCTTTTTAAATTAATAAATTGTTTTAAAAAAAAATAAAAGTAAACTTAAATCGAGCTCTATGAATTTTATACAGTTATTTTTATAGTTTTTATTCAAAATTTGTATTAAAAAATCTTAAGTGTTGACCGAATGAATCATGAAAGATAATTCCTCGGAAAAAAATCTCAGGAAAATAAATTTTCGGAAAAAAATCCCAGGAAAATAAATTCCCGGAAAAAAATTCTTTGGTAAATAATTCTCAGAAGATAAAAATTCTCAAAAAAATATTTAAAAATTTTGAGAAAATTAATAAAATAAAAATTATCTCAAATAAAATTGTTAAATAAACATATGTTCAACAAAAAAGTGGTTAATATTAAACTTAACCCAATTTTTAAAATATTAACAATTAACCATAAACCATATATTGGTAACGTTATATCCTTATCCGAAATGTTGTCAAAAGATACTTTTGAAAGTTGCGCGCTACCGCTAATGAAAGAAAAGTATTCCTATTCTTTGAAATCGCAATAAATATAAAATGCTATTCAGTATTTCACATACAAATATACTAAGCTCGAATCCCTAATATTTAGAAACTCGCAACCTTTCATCTGATGATGGCCTCAGACCTGATAGTCTCACAACTATCCCATGGACTATGGGTAAATTTATCATTTAGGATTATACCTGTGTTACAACTTCCCCACAATTATCAATAGCAACATACTCACTCAAGCCGAAACAAATACATTGGATAACTTCTACACCAATTGCCATCCACCAGTGGATTTTATACTTCTAATACATTCCTTTTAAAAAAAATTGTCATAAAATACGAATCCACACATTGGAGCCCAAAAAATTACTTTTCTTAAGATTGAAAATACTGAAGTATTTAAATATAACTGCGCGTTTTCAGGAACTTATAAGTTTTACATAATCGTTTCGTGTCCCCTACTCCCAATAAAATTTTGCATTTTATATCGTTTTTTTACATAGTATTTATGTATATTTTTAAATTGTTAATATAATATTTAAAATATTTGAATAAAGATTTATTTGAAAAAAATATATACAAAATACTTTCTAACATATTCAAATAAATAATTTAAAAAGTATTTGCATTTAGTATTTTAAATACAAGTATTCGCATTACTGCCCAATTCTGCTTCTATATCTAAATCAAATTTTAAAAAGATTGTACCTCAAAGATTTTTTGTAGAGATTTTTGATAAAAATTTAACTAAAAATGACAAAATAATTTTTAAAAATATAAGTAAATCTTTTATAATTTTCATGCATAAAAATTTTTTGAGATTAAATCACAAATTTTATAAAAAAAACCAAAGATTTTTTTCAAACTACTGCTCTATTTAGATGTAATTGATCTTTGAAACATGATTCAAAATCCGATAAAGAGAGAGTCTGAGGTGTAACTATAGTTTTTTTTCATTTAGCCTATAATATGGTTGGTTAGTGTGACTGGAAAAAATGATTGTTTAATTAATGAATTATACATTTAATCAGGCAATAAATATTGGCCAGATATCATTTTTTACAAGTAAAGATCAAGGTTAACTAATGAATCATATGATAATATATTCTTAAAGCCTGAGATACTTATGTGCAATTATAAAATAGGACTTCAAGGAAACGCATAAAACAGGGTACCATAAAAATAATTCCTATGATAATTATATACTATAAAAAAAACTAACCGTTATTGTGAAAATTATATACTATAAAAAACTCTACCAGTAGTAGTAGCCATTATATAACTCACATAATTAACCAACACAACTCTAAAACTAAAATTAATAAATTTTCAACTCCAAATTTTATAGATTAAATATATTTTAAAAAAAAACAAAGTCATAAAAGTCCTAATAATTATAAAATCTAATCCCTTTTATTCTTTTTTGGGACAAATAGATCACGAGTTTTACACGTGATATATAAAATCAGGCGACTATTTATAATAAAAAAAATTGCTATCTCTTGTGAACTCGATCGCCTTGTTATTTTGAAAAAATTTTTAGCTTCATCACACAGCTACATATTAAAATATATTTTCCAGCACTTGCCATTTTCGCTTTTTTTAACGCTATTTTATTTAGCAATATTATTCTAAACTTTCGCTATTACATTAGTTTTTGCACTCGTTAATTTAAAATTTTCGCTCTCGTTAATTTATAATTTTGGTTCCTACACAAATTAATTCCCTTTAGTACACTATTATAAAAATTTACATTCTATCTTTAATAAAATCTCTCTCACAATTGTATTTTACTATCGCGTTTTGCTCTCTATATATATTTCGTTAACGCTAATTTAATTCAATAACAATTGTACACTTATTTTCAATAATTAATATGTATTAATAACTCAAAAATTTCAACAATACTTTTTTTAAACCCTTACATATTTTTTTTTAAATTAGCACCACATTTTTGTCAATACCTCGATAATTATTAACTAACCACTATAATTTTCCCCATTTTAGGTCACATTCACCGCTTTAAATATAATTTCTTAATGCAACGCTATGCCCCGTAAGTTTCGATCACGGCACGATTATGATAATTATACACTATATAAAAAACTAACCGTTATTGTGAAAATTATATACTATAAAACTTTACCAGTAGTACAACGCCATTTTATAACTCTAACAATTAACTAACACAACTCTAAAACTAAAATTAATAAATTTTCAACTCCAAATTTTATTTTTTTAATATATTTTAAAAAACAAAAAGTCATAAAAATTATAAAATCTAATCCCTCTTATATTTTTTTGGGACAAAGAGAACGAGTTCTACACGTGATATATAAAATCAACTATTTATAAATTTGATAAATATTAAACAAAATAATTTTTAAAAATAAATAATTTTAAATAATATGAAAATTCCTTATAAGTTTTCTAAATCTATTCTTCGAGAATGATTCTATAAATTTATCAGAGACCTGCAGGCCGTATTTTAATTTTCTTTAAATATACCCCCGGGCCGTATATTTTAAAACCAAATATTTTAAATCGCCATTTTAATAGCTATAAAAATTAAAAATAAATATATTTTAAAAAAATCCAGGCCTGACAGGGGGACCCGGGCTGTAAAAAATTTTTGCAAAAAAAATAGGACCGGGCCGGACCGAAATTTTTTTTAAAAACCGGGCCGGGCCGTGATGGTACTTCTGAAGATCTCTGAAATATATCAAGGTTAAAAAATTAAACTATCCTTGAATCGATTTTTGAATCTATTTTTTATATTAATTAATAATATGATCATAAAAATAAATGTTTTAAAATATAGACACTACTAGCAATTATCACGGTATTGTTTACGCGATATGGACTTCGTGAAAATGATCTCGGGTTTTTATTTTTAGCGCCATATTTTTAACGGTCAATAGCTGGAAAACGCTAATGGTACAAATCAAGTTTGAAACGGTACAAATCAATCCCGTTTTAAAAATTTGAAAAATGTCAAATTTTGAATATCGGGGGGGGGGGGGGGGGGCTAACTTCACGCTATAATATAAGGTCTAAAATTTGATTTCCGAAAAAAATAATGAAGATAAAGCTTAATTTGAGGTATCATTAGGAAGACAAAAAATTCTCTATCGTAGTACGTTAAAATATTATTTAAAAAAATTTTCGAGTGTTTTTTTATTTTTGGCGCCATATTTTTAAAGGTAAATAATTGGTAAACGGTGATGGTACAAATCGAACTGAAAACGGAATCGGTACAAATCATCCTCTATCGACCTATACACTTTTTATTTTTAAATTCAAAAGTTGGGGGGCTGTCGTGAAGTTGGCCCCCCATTTTGTTCTTTGAATATCTCAAAAACGGTGATGGTATAAATCGAACTGAAAATGGTACAAATCAGTCCAACTGATAAACCATTGAAAATTCAAGAGTGTGGGGCCAACTTCACGGACCTCTTTTGTTTTACTGAAATCTTAATATACTATGTTATAACGATATTAAAATAATTTTATAAATATTTTTGCAATGTAATAGTACATGTTCATTGAGATAATAATTTTTAAGAAATATACAAGTTTTTATAATTTGGTTTTTTTCCTAGGAAATATTTTCTGCTTAATATATTTTAAAATCTAAAAAATAGGGAATTTATTTCTGGGCGAAATTGGAATTTTTTTAGGGGAATTTATTTTTCTGGATAATTAATTTCCTGATAGTTTCTTGGGGATTTTTTGGGGGAACTCAGAATCTTTCGTGGTATTTTTCCTGGGGGATTTCTCTTAACGGGTAATTTTTTCTCGTGAAATTTATCTTGCTCTCACCGGACCAAATGGGTAATAGGAAAAAAGCCCCGGAAAACCCCCTTAGAAAAATAGCCCTTGAAATATAACTTCCGAAAAATAACCCTTGAAAATAACAGGAAAAAATCCCTGGAATAAAAACTCCTGGAAGAATAACTTCTCAGAAGAAAAATCCTCTAGAAAAAATTTCAAAAGATTATTTTTTTTGTTAAATTTGACGCTTATATATAAAACTTTTTGAAAAACTCTCATATAACATAAGATTGGTTAATGTCAAACACTTCTTCCATGAGATCTCAAAATCGAAGAGCGGTGGGGAGTTATTAAGAATGTTTTACCTTAATAATATATGGGGGGGGGGGGGGGGATTAAATTTTTCCTTTTTCGCTGATTTTTATTTGGATTTTTTTTTCTTTACTTTATAAATTTGGATTTATATTTTTTTTTGGATTTATATTTTTTTTTACTAATTTTTATTTCAATTTACTTTCTTGAAGGAGATTAGAATAGGATATGACAGCATGGCATATGAATGGAAATTTTGCTAGATCTCCAAAAAAAATTCTATAACTTTTTACTATTTGTGTTAAAGTACCCTGAGAAAAATTCAGAAGCTAGGTCTGGAAGCAAAACAGGACTGATGAAGCTTTCTTTTGTGGCATGATGGAAAGCTAACATTTGTTCCCTTATGTGATATGGCCGATGCAATGACATTCCTAAGAATTACTCTGAACAATGTTAAAGATATTCTCGATTATTTAGATAAAAATTATTAATGGAGTATCAAGGGAGTATCAAGGGAGGCCGCAAAAGGCAATTCTCAGTCCCAGATACGTCGAATTGAGCCTCAATTTCCCTAGGTGGAAAGTAAATCAGATTACTCTATTTGACGAAAGAAAGCACAAATAGTGATGGAATTATCGTTTTCTAATCTGTTGGAAATAGGCATCCATCAATCAATTGCAGAGCTATAATACCTAGATTCTGTCAAAGAAACTTTGCGATGAATACCGATATTTTATTGGAGCTCTTTCAATATGGAGGGCATATGAGTAACCTCAAATACGACTTTTCCAGAGTGAATTTGAACCATTAAAAAATTAACTTATTAATAAAATATATTTTTATAACATTTTTTTTTACTTATATATTATATTTGTAAAATTATAATTAAAATACTAAAATATTTATTTTTCTGTCTATATCTTATAAAGATGAGTGTATCCATTATATGCAATAAAAATATAATCCAAACAATATGACTTTATAATTCTTCCGGGGGGGGGGGGGGTATTTCCTGGTAATTTTTTTTCCGGGGGAGATAAATGAGAGAAAGAGAGGAAAAATAATTTTGTATTTTTTTTAAACTTACCAAAAATGAACAGATTTGAAGTCATCATAAAACGAAGGGGAGGGGGGGTTAAAAAGCAGTGTCTTCATTGGAACCTCAATTGGGTATGTAGATTTTAAGAGAATATATGATCCAATAACTTCAAATTGGAGGTAAGGGTTTTTTTACATATCCGGGTCAAGCCCTGATATAAATGTTATTTTCTTAGACGTGGCCATGATTTTGCTAGAAGGGCACTATTAGGTAAGTGTTTCCACCATAAATTTAGTTGGAGATCTTTACTTGTGTGTTAAACGACTCGATTTTAGCCGATTTTTAAAAACGGTTAACTCGATATTTTATCCAGAAAAATATTACACAAGCAAGATTTTTCCCATAGATGACACAAAGGTTTGGACATCTATTCGCGAAATCTCGAGGCTTAGGTAATATTTTTCCTAGAATATTGAATTAGCCATTTTTTTTAAATAGAAATCGAGCCGTTTAACAACACTAATCTTTCCACTTATTGTAGGACTTTGGCTGTTAGATTTTTAAAAAAATAATTTAGTTTTTTTATTTTTTTTATTAAAAATGATTTTTTCTTAAAATTTTGAATTTTAGTCATTATTTTAAAAAATTGTTAACTTTTATTAATTTTTCCTTCAAATTCATAGTGATATTGTATACATTTTTGGGGGAGGTGGATGTAGAGAGATTTTTATTACAAAATGATACATATGAGAATAGGCGACTTTCTGAAGGGGTTGAATTTATCCTTGCCCCCTTCCACCATGGTTACACCTATGTCTATTTTTAAATATTGATTAATATTTACTCCATTAATGTGCATGTTTTTTTCTCAATAAGTATTGAAATACTGACAGATATCTTTAAGATGATAGTATTGGATTTGTCAACCAGGACTGGTTTATATAGCTTTACAATCGAAACCAATTTTGGCCAACAAAATAGCTAGATTCTATTTGGTTTTGCACTTGATCTGAAGCAGACAATTTTCTTCTTCTTTAAATTGTAAAGTGATATAAACAATCTGATATAACTTCACTATAGAATTGAGTTTTTTTGCAAATGGGATGAATGCATCTCTGATATTTATATATTTAATAAAATAATAAATTCTTAATAATTTAACATCATATATACACCAGCAAAAAAATTGAACTATGTAAAGTAGAGGCCTGCAAGGCTTAGCCCAAATTTTTGCACAAATTTCCCAGCTTGGCTCATTAAATTTTTTGTCAAGTCCAGCTAGTTAAAAAAATTTTAATTTACCCAGCCCCTGAACCTGGCATGGCTTGTTAAAATTTTACTAAAAGTCTGCCATGGCCCAAATTTTTTTGTACAGATATTCTTTGCCCATCACAATTTTAATATATATATCAGAGACCTGCAGGCCCGGCCCTAAACCCGGCCCGGCTCTAAGCCCGGCCGTATTTTAAATTTTTTAAATATACCCGGGCAGGGCCGGGCCTAAAAAAAACATATCCGGGCCGGGCCTAAAAATTTTTTTTTAAATATATCCGGGCCGGGCCGGGCCTAAGATTGTTAAACCCAGGCCGGGCCGGGCCTTAATATTTTTTATAAAAATTTTTACATTATGAGTTAATGGTTATAAGATTATATTATAGTTATGATTAATATAATATTGGGTGATGGTTAACACTACCTAACACCCACAGATCGATCTAATTATTAATTTTTTGCAAATTTATTCAAGGTATTAATATATTTTTTTATAATTCATATCTAAATTTTTAGAATATATTTTACCAAAACAATCAAATAAAGGAATATCACTTCTTGAAGTTTGTAATACCTTTCAAAGCGAAAAAGGAGAAATAAAATTGATTTTACTTAATATAAAGCATTTTTTAATTGAAAAATTTGTTTTACACAAGTATCATTTTATTTCTCTTTTTCTCTGTCCCAAATTCAAGCAATTACGTATATAGTCAGGGACAGATCGCAAGATGACGGAAAACTATATAAAAGATTATATTAAATTACAAGAGGCTCAGGAAGTAAATGAAATACCATCGACCAGTCAAATTACGACTGTTGTTAAACAAACTGAATCGTTTTATGACAAATGGGGCGATGGTAATTCTGGTAATATGTCAATACCCGATGATAAATATTATAATTACATAAATAAAAAAATAGATGAAACATTTAAGGTGGATAATTTGTTAGAGTGGTGGGCGGCTCATCAAAGCGAATTTCCAATTTTAGTAAAATTGGCAATTCCTGCTTCAAGTGCAAGCTGTGAGCGGGATTTTTCCACTACGAGAATTCTTGAAGAAAGAAGAAGTAATCTTCAACCTGAAAAGGTAGATATGCTTCTCTTTCTTCATAATTTGTGAATTTTTAATATTTTTCTTGAGTATAGGGTTTCGTCAATCATGCTGGTTTTTTACTTTGCAAACTGTCAAATATTTATTGCATTTATTATATTTACCTTGAGTCATGAAAGTTTTTAATCCAACATTTTTCATTATTTTTTCTTACAATATTATATAATACAATTATCTTCTTTTGTTAAAAATTTATATTATAAAATAAATTATATTAATATTGTGCAATTAGATTATATTCAAAATACTATTTATTATACATGCATTTTTTTAAATAGCAATTTATTTTTATTTTATAAATTAAATAGTAAATTAAATACAATATATTATATTCTCAAAATATTTTCCATTTTTATAAGTTAAATATTAGTTTTATTATTTTTAAATGCAATATAAAATATAGTATATGCTCAAAATTTTATTACCATTTTTATGAATATTAGTTTTATTTTTATAAATGCAATATAAAATATAGTGTATGCTCAAAATATCCATTTTTATAAATAACAGTTTTATAATTTTTATAAATTCAATATAATATTCTCAAAATATTAGCTTTTAACATGTATTTTTTAAATAATAAGCGATAATACTCGCTGAAAAATATGGTAAAATACCTCATAGGTGAATTTTTGTATATACCAGGTCGAATATAATTTTAAAAAATTCCGAGGGGTCTTAAATTATTAAATCCTGGCCGGGCCGGGCTGGGCCATAAAAAAATTTTTTAAAAAATATCCAGGCCAGGCCGGGCCTAAAAAATTTAAAACCGGGCCGAGCCGTGCAAATTATACCTCTGCAGGTCTCTGATATATATATATATAATTTTTTTACAATGTCAATTAAGGCTCTTATAACTCTCATGCTCATCTATGACTATCTATTTTTACAGCAACCACTTTATAAATTAAATTAGGTTTGATATCTTATTTTGCATTGCAATTGGATCATATCATAAATAAATTGTTTAATTTCTTGCAAATCTATTATATCATTTATAGATTTAGTATTTTGGTTAGAAGATCTTAAAATACATAGAAATTAACATATTGTAATTTATTATCAAATAGTAAATCAAGATGCATGAAATTCAAAAATTTAACAAAATTTTATTCCCAAACTGTATTAAAATTTTAAGAAAAACCAGAGATTTGAGATATTCTCCCTGCTTTTTTAGATCTAAATTGCCAAACCTGGCTCAAATTTTTTTTATTCAATTGCCCAGCCAATTTTTTTTAGGTATGACTAGTGTGCCTGGCCGATTTTAATTTTTTTTTAATTTCCTGGCTTAGCCCATGGATTAGGCTTTTGGGTAGACTGGGCTTTGCAGATTTCTAACATACCAATCCTGAATTAGGATAAGGAAAGATAGATCTGGTCCATCTTTTCTCGTGAGCCATGATTGTTCTTAGAAGTTTGGTCAAGTCATGACTTTGAATATAAATAAGAATTCTTAAAATTATATAGAATAAGAATTTTAAAATTTCTTATTATTGTAAATCTTTCATAAAAAGGCAAACTTGGATTATACAGTTAACTAATATCATCTTAAGCTAATAAAAATCCCACCCCCCTATATACCCCTTATCACTAAAAAATATATATATACAATTTATCACTGAACAGTAATGTGTCATGACAAACCAAAATAATTTATACATGTAACATAGCAAGTTAATAAGACATAAAAAAAACCACTAAATTTCACATATGAGTTAATCTATTTCAACCAGTATTGAATTTTTTAAAAAAATATCTCTATTAAATAAAATTAATAAATCTATCAAATTCTATCAAAATATATATGTACCAGTTATTAAAGGGTGAGTTAGAATTGTCTAATATTTTATCATATTTTTCATGCCAAAACAAATTTTTTGATTGCTCTGACCAAAAATATTCTGGTTTGTTGATACTTGTTTGATAAATATCATTATAAATTGATTTAACTTTGGATAAATAACGTATTTTAATCATATTTCTATTCATTATCATTTTATTATTATTAAGGTCGATAATTTCAATTTAAGATTTTAAATTTCAAAAACTTAAAATTTTAAATCCGATTTGCCTAAATATGATTGAACGCCCTCAGCAAAAAATCGTGCTATATAAATTTTTTTTATTATTTATTCAACATCGTTATTTTTTTAATTTTTAACAAATAAAAAAAGTTGTTATTTTTTTAATAAATGTTTTTTAACGCATTTATTTATTTAATGGAAAATGAATGTATTGATAATTATAAAATTACTAGTTAATAACCCGTCAATAATGACGGAGTTGAGGGGTAATTAGTTGTGTATATGGTACTAAATATACTTTATTAATATATTTTATAAAAATATTAAAATTTAGGCGAAAATGAGGAAAATTTGTGAATTACACCTCATAAGATATTCTTAATTTTTGATTCATCTATGAATAAGGAAGAAAAGTATGATGACCCGTCTTTCTTGAAGGGCAAAATGAAAAATATATAACTCAGAATACCAGAGCTCCCGTTAGTCAGCATTGCTGAGCCCGTTAAAAATGACGGGGAATGAGAATTTTCTTCTTACTCTTTTGATAGTTGTTACCTGTTATTTGAAAATAATATTTAATTTTTATTCTTTATAACATCCTCCTACCTTCAGGTCAGGTCCAATCCATTAAAATAGTTTAAATGCTATGTTTTGAGGCAAAATATATTTAAAGCTTTTACTTGATGCCCATATCAATATTATTTGTTAAAATATTATTGATCATCTATGCCTATTATTTAATATTGAAAAAATTCCCAAGCAAGGTCCAAGGTCTTAATAATTTTGGAAAAATTTCCCCAACTATAACCAAAGATTGTAATAATTTTAGTAGTTGAGAACTGGAATAAAATATTTTAAAAAATCATAATGAATTTAAAAATACAATCAAAATCAGATTTTATGAGACTTGGTTTAATTGTTTAGGTCAATTTCTGATCCATAGTTAATATTAAAAAAATTCCCAAGCTTCCAAGCTGATAATAATTTGAAAATTTTTCCCCAAGCGTAGCCCAATATAATTTATAAAATATTTCTAGGCCCACGCCCGACCCATTATAATTTTAAAAATTTTTCTTAAACCTGGCCAATAGATAATAATTTTGAAATTTTTTTCAGCTTCCAATAAAATAAATATTATAAAAATATTTTCCAAGCCCAACCCGACCCATTATAATTTTAAAAAATTTTTCTCAAACCTGGTTAACCGATAATAATTTTGAAATTGTTTTCCCAAGCCGGGAGCTTCCAATAAAAAAGATAAATATTGATATGTAAAAATTACTTTATCATAATATAGTTTCTTATATAAGATGAATTGTATTACAAACTTTACTATAGAAGGGGGGTGACTGTAAAGAATGTAGTTTTTTTTTAAGTTATCTATTTTAAAAAAAAAAATTTTAACATTAGAGTATATACTCCTAGGATTTATTTAAAATTAAGATGATAGGAAAGTCGATACCAAATAAAAATTAACATTAAGGTTATACGAAAACGTTCATTTCTTGATTACGGCGATTATATATATATTAGTTGATAACCCATCAAGAATCTTGAACTATTATATGAAATTTTTTTTTAAATACATTTTTTTATATAAAATAAATGACAAATTTTAGTGATTATTTATTTATTTTATTAAATATAACCTAAAACATATGAAATATAATTAAAAATGTAGGGTAGATCTTTATAAATTAGAATTGTATGTCATCCCCATGTTGTTGTGATAAAATTTTTATACTAGCATATTTTGGGGTGGTAATATGAGATAAATGTTTATTTTTCAATTGGCTAAATATAATTTAATTTGCTATTTTAAATTTAATAATATTCATTCTTACCATAATTTCAGGTGAGGTTAGTATTCTTTTTAAAATAACACAATAAGATCTAAATTATATAAATTAATTGAAAAATATGTTAATAGCATAATAACATATATAAGAAAGATTATATTACAAAATCTAATATAGAAGGTGGCTGAGTGGAAGAACGTTTGCCTTTAAATCGTTAAGTTAATAGGTTCGAATCCGTGATGTACAAAAAATTTTCTTAAAATTTAACATTAGAAATATATAGTCTCCATCAATTTATTTAACATTAAGAGGATAGGAAAGTTGATAGAAAATATAAAAATTAACATTAAGATTAAGATTATACGAAAGCGTTCATTTCTTGATTACGATGAATATATATATAGATTTTATATGATACTTTTATTATTTAATAGGAATTAAGATATAATTTGGAATTAAAAGATTTTTCTGGTCTAAAACATTTCATGAGTAATTATGAGAAGAATGCCTTAGAATTATTATATATCACTTTCTAAACCTCGTGAAAATGCGATATATAAATATAAAACAATTGCATATAATTGCAAAATAGGAGGTGGTATTTTTAAATCTAGCTCAACAGATGTAAGAGAAAAGAGAACCTTTAAACAAGGGTGCAATAGCTAAATCATTTTTAAAATAATTAAAAAAAATGATTGTGTGTTTTGTCAAATTTTTCTAACACAATTATAAGTCCATTTTCATTAGGTTTAAAGTTTGAAAGTAACTTTGCTATTGGACCCTTGTTTAAAGGTTCTCTTTTCTTTCACTTGTTGAGCTAATGGACCCCGTCCTGGTAGGTGTTCTAAAATATCCACTCATATGCCGTTAAACCTAACCATGGTTCGCTTGATCTATAAAAAGTGCCGCCGGCCGCCAATATTTTTACCGTTAAAAATTGTCTATTTAATTACTGAGGTCATTTTACCACGACAGTCATTTCACAACAGTCGTAGCCGTTGTAAAATGATTGCTTTAATTTATTAGTTTCAAAAAACAATAGCGGTATGATAATTATATATTATAATAAAACTCTAACAGTCATTGTGAAAATTATATAATATAAAAAACTCTACCAGTAGTAGTACGCCATTATATAACTCACATAATTAACTAACACCGAAAACTAAAATTAATAAATTTTATTCCTAATTTTATAGATTAAATATATTTTAAAAAAAAAAGTCATAAAAGTCCTAATAATTATAAAATCTAATCCCTTTTATACTTTTTTGGGTCAAATAGATCACGAGTTTTACACGTGATATATAAAATCAGGCGACTATTTATAAATTTGATAAATATTAAACAAAATAATTTTTAAAAATAAATAATTTTAAATAATTATATGACAGGCCCTCCATAAATGAGCTCATACGACCCCCATATTGTTGGCCCCATTGTGATTTTAGAATATGCATACTTTTAGAAATCTTCATCACGAGTTCTCTCAATCGTGTCATATATTCAGTTTTATATTGAGTCTATTACTTATTATCATTAATTCCATTATTTTATTATCAATTAACCATCAAATATGATTCATAATTTTCGAGAATATACATTTTTTTAATTAACTTACCCCATTCGATTCCTTATTCTGAATAATATAGAATTCCATAATATTTCACAAGAACCACATGGATTTATCTTCCTTCCCATATCTTTGATAGCATAGTGGTTTCCTTTACACCCAATAGTTTCGCTGAAGTAGGAATTGGCTGCATAGTTTATGAACGAATATTTTATCTTGAACCAACTTTTATGATTTGTCTCCGTAATCCTCAACGTGTTAGAACGAATATTGTTATCTGGACCCAACATTAGTGATTTGACTCTGTAGTATCGAGTTTAAACAAATTTTAGTTATGTGTACCCAACTTTAACTATTTGTCTCCATAGTCCTTACTGAGCTTGAACAAATATTTCCCAAAATTTCTTTTTTTTGCGAGTTAATAATCTATAACCATAGGAATAATCAATTCTTTTTTTTTAAAAAAAACACCTCTTCTGCTCTTCTTGGTAATAAATAATTCATTGCATACGATCGTCGATCTTCATCCCATAATTATATTTCGTTCAATCAACTTATTCTCTTTCCTTTTTACTTCATCGCGTTATTGTCTAATAATTCGCCGATATAGTGTTGTTAAACGGCTCGATTTGAGCCGATTTTTGAAAACGGCTAACACAACATTATAGCCAGAAAATATTGCCTAAGCATAGAGATCTTGCCAATAGATGTTCAATCCTATATGCCATCTATGAGCAAAATATTTAGGTTTGCATAATATTTTTCTGGATAAAATATTGAGTTAGCCGTTTTTTAAAATCGGCTCAAATTGAGCCGTTTAACAACACTACGCCGATATATTAAAAAATATTCAAGCACTTTACACATATTTTAAGGTCAATTTCCTATATTAATACTATTAACATTTTTACCGAAATTTTAAACACCATTTTTGTATCCATCCTCTTTTAAAATTCATCCCAATATATTGAACTTTTACACAAATTTCGAACAACACTTTTGTATCTCTCCCTTTAAAATTCATCTCAATATATTAAACTTTTACGGAAATTTCAAAAATCTCCTTTGTATCTCTCCTTTTAAAATTCAACCCACATATACATATTTCAGTCCAATCTTCCGATTCCCCAATGAGTCTCTCGAATATTCTCCATTGAGTTCCCCAAATACTCCTCAATGAGTTCCCCAAATACTCCCAATGAATCCCCCCGAATACTCCCCAATGAGTTTCCCCGAATACCCTCCCCCCATGAATCCCCCAAATACTCCCCAATGACCCCCCCCCCGATTACTCCCCCATGAGTTCCCCCGAATACTCCCCAATCCGTTTTTTTTAAACCAAGAAAAATATTTAACCTAATTCATTATTTTTTTTAAAAAAAAATTTTTTTTATTCAACCCGCTGTTATATTCTACTCAATTAATCAAAAATACGTTCCAAATTAATATTTTCTATTACTAAAATTTATTCTTTATCAACCCAATCTTCTCTAATCCATCATGTTTTTATTCCTTCACATTTTTATTCCAAATTAAAGGTAAAAAAAAATATTCAATATCTCTCTACTTTAAAATTTTTTTTTAGCATCTATCTGTATAAATTATATTCTTTGTAAATCATCA